GTCCAAGTTCACTGTAAGAAACGGCACAATAGTGACAGCGAGACTCCACGAGCTGCAGGGGAAAAGTTCAAGTCACTAGACAGCGAGAATACCATGGTGTGCGTGCATAGTCTTCACGGGGGCGCGCTCGAGAATTCTAGTTTTTAAGACAGGATGATAACGCCCAAAAATGTGTGCAGTGCATAGCTTTGATAACGATGCCTTTTTATTATCTCTTCCATTAAGAACAACCTTGTTAGTCATATTTGGGTTGAGGCCATTAAGGACTTCGATATGTCAACAAGTGTTAGTGTTAATTGGTTTTTAGAGGAAGAATGATGTTAAAGTAAAACAAAATAAACACAAAACACAGACGGAATTAAGATTACATTTATTGTTAACAATTAATATTGTCCAGTCAACAAATGTAGACGTAACTGCTATCAATTCTAAAAATAGTCTATCCACTGTATTAACATGCTTGGGGATTTCTTACAAGCTTCTCCTAAATGTCTATATTTATTCATTTCAATCATGTTTTATACAAAAGACAACTTTAAAACTGTCCTTTTTGTTGGACAATTCGCATGTTGAGTACAGTCTTTGTGTCTCTGAGATGAGGAGACAGGCTGTCCCCCTTTACTATGAAACTAAGTCTACAGAAATGAACTCAAATATTGCTGTGTATGTGTCTCCTGCTAATGTTTATTTTATTATTCCATCACCACAAAACCTCTGTTGAAATGTTTGACGAAGATTGCGTGAATTCTGCAGTACACGGGCATAACAAAGCAAAGCTAAAAATGAGCACTTAATACTGTATCTCCTTGGGGCCATTTGTTGCTGATTTGAAATAAGCATATGACTAGATTGAATAAAGGGTCCTCCTTGTATTTTAAAAAGCAGAGTGCACTGCTTGAGGCAATAGCACATTAACCACGAAAAGTTGCAGCATTAACGGAAATTAGAACAACCAGTGAAAGTCAACTGTTAATGTCTCTATGGGTTTCCACATGTCTGACACTAGAGGGAGGCAACCACTGGGTTTACGAATGTCTGTCATCTATAGAAACTGTTGTATCTCTTTCCATTGTCCCAGAGGTAAACACTGTACATTTTAATTACATTCATCTGACAGTTGAAAAGAAGGCTATAGGTTTTACAACCCGTCAGCAGACGAAGCAGTTAAAACGGACGTTATCTTCATCTACATTTAGCTGATAGCACTTCAACTCCACTTAGCTTTATTGAATCTGACAGTAAAACAATTACATGTTAAATTATAATGTGAAATATCGACTTGTGTTTGTGGAAATAGTCATTTGATTAGGTACACCTGTACAGTAAAAACACCACTGTTCTGCCATAAAGTCTATTTGTATGATGCCTATAATGTGCTTTGATTTTTCATACTTTCATAGTAGTGCCAAACAATTATGTGCTTTAGCATTGAGGTCACAGTATGCTTCCCCTTATCATGTAGGCCTTAAATAAAGTCAAGGGAAATAATTGAAATTTGCCATTGATCATCAATTATAAGGGACCATACTTGAAAGGAGACAGAATCAATTTTTTTCAGTTGACAGTATGCTTAGATGGAGCTTATTCCTCAATGAATTCAATACAATTGCAACAACTCTGTGGCGGAGTATTATTCCAGTAGCACTGATACGTTTATGAGTCCAGCAAACACTGTATAATGTAGCTGTCCTATGTTATCTGCTACACTGATCGATGCATGACAGGAAAGGGATAGATTTGATCAATACGCATCAGCTATTTCAAATAATATTGGCACAACATAATTAATGCTTAGTAAGCAATCTATGAAATAAACTCCACACCACTTGCTGAAAGATGTTCCAGAGAAGTCATTCTGATTCTTCCTTTAGTGAACTGAAGGGAGACCCCCCCCCTGACAGGGTGTCATTGAGGACAAATTGATGAGGGGGAAAGACTCTGTCACAGGTTTATTTTTCTCACTTTAGGAGGTTGGAAAGTCCCTTCAGACTTCCAACCGTTTGTCTGCTGAGCTCGGACAATAAGCCCAGCTAGCCACAACTCATCAGGCAGCAGGAAGCGGGGATGACAGAGGGTGGGAGAGTTCAGCAGGAGTCTGCAGGCCCCTCCACACTCACCCACCCTCACCTTCAGGAAGCAGCATCTCTCACACACACACACACACACGCGCACGTTGGCGGTTGTTAGTGTGAGTACCCAGTATTGGGAGGAAACAGGTGCCCTCGGCTTCATTGTTTCCACAAAAGCAAACGAAAGAAAACAATCTGGAAAATGGCGGGACGGCTTTGAGTGAAACAGAAGACGTGATTCATGGGTAGAAAAAGTGTGTTAATGAGAGGAAGGAAGTCCAGGGAGGAGAAAGGGTGAAGGAGGGAAGTGTGGCAGAGAGAGCAGGGTGTACACTGCGAGAAGACAAACATATATATATGGTGGACACTTCATATGAGAAATATTTTTATATTTATTTGACATTTTGGATAAACTGTGTTTCCATTGGTTTATAAATCATACATTATATCACTTATGAGTGCAATATTAAATAAAACACTTAACACCAAAGCTCCAATTCATATCAAATGATTTAATTTAGATTGTACAACACCATCTTTGTCCAGCAGATGAACTCACACACAAACAGGTCATAATATTATTACTTATCTAATTGCCTACAGTCCTCTCATTATGTAAAAAACAATATCATTTCATTTTTTACAGCTTACACCCAGTATAAGACGACTAAGTCCTTTGCCTGCTCGGACTATAAAGCAGATATCACTGCATGCAGGCCCCAGGCCTCAAGGTTAAGATAAATACATGTAATAGAACATTTCCAGGCTTAAAACTATTTTCTAGAATTTAATTTACTACAAATATTCCAAAATTCACCATCTCTTTCTTCAAAAACTTGCATTTCTTTCCATCTTTAGTTCAAACCGTTCACAATTTCATTCTTCCTGAACATTCAGTATACAAACATCCCACAATACCTTGTTTCCACGTCTCTAACCCCTCTTTCTTTCCCTTCACAAACCTTCAAATTCACTTTTCTTGACACCATCTCCATCTCAGAAAAGGATTTCTAACAAACCCTAATGAATCTTACTTGTAATTTTCTCCAAGTTCCAAAATCATCCAACTACATGCTGATGCTCAAAGTTATCTGCAAATGTCTCTTTTCCCAAATAGAATATTTTGTCCATGATTCAAAGCTGGTCATCTAACCATTCTGTCAACACGAATAAATAACCACCTCATCTTCAAAAAACTGGTGTTGATCATTTAGAATTGAAAGTTCATTCGTTCACCAATGTTCCCCTTTTGCACATGCTGGACCTGCACTGTATACTTTAAAGTTGGTATTGTTCAGCAGGCCTGCAGGATGGGCTGGAAGGCCTCTGTCAGGACCTTGTAGCGGATCTTGGTGTTGGTGACGGCCCCGTGTTTCTGCCGCAGGTGAAGACGCAGCTGACTCTTGTGGCGGAAGTGTAGGTCACACTTCTCACACTGAAAAACAACAAGACAACAGATTTACCACCGGTGGCATGACACAGTATTCTTTCTATGAAGCATTAGTGTTTGTGTGCGACTCACAGTGTAGGGCTTCTCTCCGGTGTGGATGCGCAGGTGGCTCTTCAGGGTCTGCAGGTGGCGGAAGCGGGTCCCGCAGGTGTGGCAGGGGTACGGTTTCTCCCCCGTATGGATCAGCACATGGGCCCTCAGATGGGCAACCTACAACCAGGACAAATCACATAACCAGGTTAGACATTCATATTTACAAAATAGCTCTAACCATCTGCATCATAGATTGACGCCATGGTTATCATGAAAAAGTCCCATGCTTGTGCCCATACGTTTAGTTACCTGGAGTGCCTATCATCCCACAAACCTTTGATACATTTTAGTTCAGATTTGACTTATTTTGAACTCTTGAGAGGCTGCAATACAGGTATATTCAGATGAACCATACAGTATAAGAAAAGTAAGCCTTTTTTTTAACATTGAGGCATGTAAACATGTTCTTAGAGAAACCCTAAATACTAGTAGACCTACAGTAAATACAAATATGTTAATAGGAGGTGACATGTTTTCCCCTACGACATAGTTCACAATTTAGATTCAGGTTTGAAGCACTCAAGAATTGTCTTTACTTTTTGGTCAGATTTTACAACTACATGCATCTCACTTTGGTTCTTATTAGTTTCCTTAAAATCTTACTTTCAACCAAAATCATGAATGACGAATCTAAAAAGCATACTTTCAGGAGCAGGTGCCACAAACGTCACACTGGGTTGGAAGCTAACTCAATCTGACATTCATTACGCTTTACAGGAACCTACAGGACTTTTTTTACGAGAGAAAGAGGAAGCATTCTCTCACACCTGTTTTATGTTAGAGTGCACTTCCTCTCCCCTCAAGCGCTCATGCACACACACAGATTTAACCCTTACCTGAACAAATCGTGCGCCGCAGGTGTCGCAGCGGTACGGCTTTTCTCCTGAGTGGATGCGAGCGTGAGTCTTCAGGTTGGCAGGTCGGTTGAACTGGGCGCTGCACACGTTACAGCGGTACGGCTTCTCACCTGCAGGGGTCAAAGGTCAGCGTTATTGGTTTTTAAAGAAAAGAAAGAATAGGAAAGATATTTTTCTTTTTTAAAGCCTCACCTGAGCTGACAGTCTTGGTTCCTTGAATGTTGCCAGAATAACAGTAGGGCACATAGTAGTTCTCACGCTTGATCGCATGTTGAGCAGCTTCTGGATCAGTGGGCAACAGGTTTGGGAAAATGGTGCAGGGTGGGACTGAGGAAACAGACACAAAAACATACATTAGCATGTTTGAAAAAAGGGAAATATTTAGCAGAAAGGCCAGAAAGTGTTTTGGATTACCTGATCGATCCCTGTAAGTGGGAGGTATTGTTGGGTGGTCCACAGAGGGGGGTGGCCCGAGGGGAGGGGCTCGGCCAGAACCCTCGTAGCAGGAGGCCTGCCCCTGTCTGATGAAGAAAGGTCATAATTAGCAAAAATATTAAAAAAACACGTATATTTCTCCTCTCTCCTTCCATATTTCTCATCATTCCATTACCTATCAATCTGACCAGGCACTTCTCCAGACCACTCCTCTGTTGCTTTGGGGGTCGAGCCCATCCTGTCGGGTGATGTGCGACTTTGCGGCTCCTCCATCTCCTCTTCTTTCACCGTAGTGGTCGCACAGAGAGGATTAAGGACGATGTACTTGTATTTTTTCCAATTGCAAGCTTTTGGATCCGGTGAGGCTTTGACATCACTCTGGAGAAATAAAGAACACACTGTCAATTAACCTCAGTTCTTATCCAAATCAAACGAGGATGTTTGTATCTTCTTTGAACTCACCACAAGGTTTTTGCTGCAGGTGTTGGATTCTGCGGGAGAGTTTGGTTGGCAGCTGGAGCGGGCAGGGCTATCTGGAGATGGAGTCGGGCTGCCCATGAGGGGCGACTCAGGCTCTCCTTTCATCTCCTTTGACCCGGGCTGATAGGTTGGGAAAGCCCCCGGCTTGAGAGAGCCCCCAACATCCGCAGGGACCCTGCAGGAGAAACAAAGGAAGTGCTGCAATGAGATACACATGTCAACAGACAAAGGCACACAGCAGAAGCACTTTGGACAATCTCTAAACACAAAAACCCAATAAAAAGTCCCACCCACAGAGACATTCAGCTCACTCAATCATTTTCTATAACACCCATCATCCTCCTACCTTGTTGGCAGTAATCTCTGGGGTCCAGGATTGAGCAGGTCCCCTCCGTTGGGGGCTACAGAGGCTACAGACACCCTGGAGTCCAGCTCCAGTTGAGGGTGTCTTGCACTCACATTCTCCCTGCTGGAAAACAAAGAACTTGTAAACCACTCAAGTAGAAAACATGCAAGATTGCACATTGATACGTTTGAATTCAGTCCCTCACCAGTGCATCTGCATGAAATCCCGGCAGGTATCAGCCACGTGGTCCATCTGCAGGTAGGCTGCTACAGTGAGCACCCCAGGGGCAGTGCTGGGAGTCAGAGGGAGGCGGGAGGTGTACATGAAGTCCAGCAGCAGGGAGACGCTGGATGGGTCCAAGGCGCTGGGGAGGCACACGGTCATGAGCTGCTCCCCGCTGCCACCACGCCCCTGAAGGAGCACACGGCGGGAGTACAGCGAGTAGAAGAACCCACTGAGGAAAGAAAATCAAAGACAGTGTTATATTAGGGGTAAGATATGCATTTATCTGAGTTTCATTTGAAGAATCCCATTGTTTTAAATGGTGGTGACGAGATGGGAAGAAGAGGACAATCGATGTGGAAAGCAGGACAAAGTGAAAGGAAGATGATAAGAAGAATACAAATAACAGCTATGAGTCAACCAGAGGATGGCAGGGAAAAATAAGTGTGTCATAACAGAATAACATTTCCTTTTAAAAGAGCCCCAATCAGAGAAAACCTCCCCGCTTGTCCTTTGCACCAACCTGCAGGCCACGAGTACAGCACAGTGCGCCCGTAGGTGCACGTCGCCCACGACCAGGGTGGTGTCGGTCAGGATGTTGCGATGCCGGAGTTCGTTCAGGTTCAGCAGCACGTCGTTGGAGTGGCGAGTGAACTCCTTAACGTATCCCTCCACCGGGGCTGCAGGCCTCGTCTCCTGCACTCTGTCCACTCTGTATCCTTCCAGCACTTCCATCATCTGTATCTGTGGCGAAGACATTATGAATGAAGCAACCATCCAATGCACATTATTTGAATCCACAATGTATTAACGCAAGTGTTGACTATTCACAATAATGACCTACCTTTGTGTAATTGATAGAATAAATAAGCTGGAGTGTCCCAGACACATCTAGGTGAGACCAGCTCCCTACTCGTACCTGGATAAGGACAACATAAGAAATATATACTCTTTAATATTCACATAAATCAAGGGTATGTGAAAGTCAGCAAAGTTGTGATAAATAAGAACTTAAAATATTGTAAAAAAATCAAAATGCAATAATTTTCTAAGTCCTACATTGACCATGAAGTTAGTGAAAACAATTTAAATCATATTGGTGTAGTCATCTGACAAACTTAAATGCTAAATTATAAGGATAAATCAATAAAAGGACCACATCATTAGCATCTGTACTTAAAAACAAACAAATAAAACACAAATAAAAACATAAATATGTTAAGAAAATCCTTTTCCAACTCACCCCGACCAGCAGGGACGAGAACCTCTGTGCACCGCGCTGACGTCAAACCCCCGGCCTCAGTGTTCACTTTACACCCAAAGAAGAGGAGCAGGGGTTCACCCGCCGTCTCCACTGGCTCTGAACAGCACTGTGAGGGGAGGCTGAAGGGAGGGGACTCTTTATAACGTTGTGCAGGAAGCCCCCGTACAACCAGGGCCGCTCGTTTCCTCTTTCCTCAATGGCCCACGCGTACACTGGAAGTAGCGCAGGAAAAGCCCTGGCCCAAGCTCTAAGTATTTTTAGTGGCCTATTAGTTTTTCTAAACCCCCATCGCTCGGAGCGAAGTAATGGCAGGAAAGGATAGTGTGTTTTTGTGCCACGTTGAAAAAATATATATGAGGACCCTTGGGGAGAAGCGCTACGTGCCTTGGTGATCCAGAGGTAGGCCATTAGACTTCCCCCACCAACGCTTTCCTCCCCTTCACCCCTCTCCAGGACAGAGGAAGCAGGAAGCTGGAAAACAAACTTATTGTTGGGTAAACAAGCTCATCATTAAGATTCCATCATATCAAGGGAGTTGTTTAAAGGTTTCAGCCAGGATTCACATTTTGGTGCATTTCTAGAACGAAAGAGAAACTGCACTGAAAAACCTAAACGTTAACTTTTATTAAATGTATTATGTCAACAGATTTGGGTTAGTATTAGGTTAGTTGAAAGCAATAATATTAAGTTGAACCTACTATTTATTCAACAAGCCCCTTATTGCTTTCAACTAACCCAATACTGTTAAGTGAAATCTGTAGACATGATACATTTAATCAAAGTACACGTTTCAGTTTTTTCATTGCTGAGTTGACAAGTTAAGGGCATTAGTAAGTGCTCCACAACAGAAGCTGCTGGCGTCTTGCCTGAGAGCAGAGGCGTTGAGTTATAAGAAACGAAAGGAAGGAAGCGGGACCAAATTGATCGTTCTAGGAGACACCTTCTCTTCATGGTGGTGAAAAACAACCTCTATACCCCACCCAACTGAGAGAGATGCAGCCGACAGATGTGCAGGAACTACCCCACACTTCTGTTTGCATCCTGCAAAGCTGTTCAGAGACATGGATGAAAACGCCTGCGCAGGACATCCGTCAATAATAAAGTGAGCAGGAGACAGGGGAGGGGGAATGGAGGGTAATGAAGTACAAGAGCTTAGGGGTCGTGAAAAACAAGTGAAGTCACCTCATACTCACATTGGGTTCACAGAGAAACAGGCAGTTAATTGAGGCGCAGCAAATAAAGTGAACTATGAACTGGATTTCCTTTACATCAAAGCATTCTACAGAAGGAGACGTTGAAGAAGGAGGAGAATATTCTTGGTTGAACCAGATAAGTGCTTCCTGCACAACAAGTGAAGACTGGGAGGCAACAAATGGACAGAGAGGAAATTATGTTTTATTTTCATTGATAAAATGGAGTCCTGAAGCCAATTTAGCTGTGAAGAAGAAAAATGAAATGTCTAATTTGAGTTTCAACTTGTGGTGTTTCTTTATATAATGTGTACAACATGAAGCCGATCAATGAGTAGTTCATAGGGAAAAAGTGTAGTGTGCATGAAACAAGTTTAATTGTTCTTAAATACATTCTTAAAATGTAAATGATATATTATAGATATGTTTTATGAGAAGCAAATGTGTCAAAAGTGAAATAAAAATCCGACAACATGACCATGTTTGGATATAAATCCGGGAGTGAAGTGTTGTTCATTTTGTGCGCGTGTCCTTGTGCTTTTATTTGTTTGTATGGAGGTCCGATCAATTGTGTGCTTTGAAAAAAAAAGGAGGAGAAAAAAAAACATGAAGGAAAACAACGATTAAGAAAAACAGAGAGGGAGGTGTAGGTCTCGGCTACTTCCAGGCATTGTGAGAGGAACGGATGAGGGGGGGCGGTTGAGGAAAAGTGAGAACATTACTAAACAGGTTCACCAATAGGCGGAAGCCATTGAGTCCATCCCGTTGGCAAGGCTTGGCAACACTCACAGTGACTTCCTGCATGATACCCCATCTGTCAGTGTCCATCAACAACCCACTCTGTTTTTCATCAAATGCAGAGCTGCTACCGTCAAATTAAAAGACCTTCTGCAATTTCCAAATGAGGAAAAACAACAATTTCCCCGAGCAAATTCAACATTTCAACATCTATTTAACTCCTCGTCGAACAGAACAAAGGCAGGGATTCCCCTTCTTTTGTGGTTTCCTGGTTGCCTGGACAGAACCATATTGTTTTTCTCTGATAATGTATGGGCTGAAGACATGCTTTGACTTCCAAACCCCCACTTGGTGCCAAAGATGTGGATCTCCTTCAACAATAACAGATCTGCTTAAACTGCCTCTTCCTGTGATTGCAGAGCGCCGTGGACATATAAGGGCAAACAAGAGCGACTGGAGGGAGGAGCATGAGGAGGAAGCGGGGATATCCCAGGGAGCAGCCGGGGTTGTTTGTCCACTTATTGGCACAGATAGACAGGGACATCAAATATAGATAATAGAGTTATGAAACTGTTGCTTTGAAGAAGCGCCTTAGGGAATGCAGGGCCTTCAATATGGTGCTGGGTGGAGTGGGAGGAAGAAGAAGAAGACAAGTCTGGGGGGTAACAGGAGGGGGACAGTTGACCCAAATCTCATGATCCACAAAATAATAAAGCAATTTGACCTCCATACTTACGGCTGCTTAAACAACAGAAAACAACATACACATTAAGACCAATTTCTCTGACCTCGTTATCCGTCAGACACCAACATATAATATAAAAACATTAAACTTAGATCAAACTTTGACAGCAGTATAAGCTAATTCTGAATACAAATATTAGCTGGTAGGTTACTTGATCAAAATGTGCTTAAGTGGCATTTCTTTAACCAAAATTACAAATGGATACAGTCCAGAGAAATGTGCATCTTACTATTTATGTACATTTGGTAGCCAATTCTTAATGTTTGCCTATTGTGTATTTACTTGGTACATTTTTATTTTATTTTTCAATGTGTATATCCTTGTCATGAAATCAATTTACCTTTATGTAACTTTTATCCCATTTTATTTTAATACTTGGATTGGCTTTTTTTTTACTTTAATGTGAAGCTGAGATTTCTCCCAAAATATTATTCATGAAAAACGTTTTTTTTAATTAAAATGTCATTATTTTTGTTATTATTTTGTATAGAATTACACAAAAACCAAACACATGGTTAATTTGTTTGTGACAGACCCCCCACCTTTCCACGCACACGCGCGCACACGCACACACACACACACACACACACACACACAGACAGAGAGCCGTTACGTCACGCATCGGGAATGCAGTGAGGAGCTGCTGCTGCTGCTAAAGGCCTCAGGATCCGTCACAAAGTAGGTGAACGACGCTAAATCTAAAAGAAAGTTATGTCGCGATAACTTTCACCGAGCTTTAAACCTTTCAAAAGAGGCGCAGATTGAGTTTGTGTCGCGCTTTTCTGGCGGTAGGTGTCTGGTATTTCATTGTTTCCTCTTCGGTTGTGTTGAAGTTAGCCTGGAGGCAAGGCACGAGTTAAAAACAGGCTAACAAACAAGTAAACAAGGCTGTTATTAAAGTTAATTATTGCACATTATCCTATATTATTGCTATATTACTTTAGTGTCATGTTTTGGACATATGTGACGTACAAAGGACAGATTTGGTGGAAAAACTGAGCAGTGAGTCTCTATTCATTTGTACGAGACGATAATGTTGCTGTGCGGAACTAACGCTACTATGTAAATACAATAAACTATCGCTAATGTGTTTTTAATGCGACATCTTTGTTCTATTTTACCTTTTTAACCAGTTTCGTTGTTCTTGTTCTGTAGATGAGACTGAAGGGAAGAGGAGAGTCACAGTAAAGGTACTGTAAAAGGTAGGAAATGCTAACAGTTGGCTAATAGTTATTAGGTGAGGTTTTTCTACCCACATTGACCAAGTTCCTGTTGTTTCCCTGTTATTTTTGTCCATTTTAAATAGCTATTATCGCTAAATGTAGCTACAATGTGTCAAGCTAACCAGAACCTTCAAAATAAAAACGTGAATATGGTTTCAGAATAAAAAAACAGTGAGTATAACTGTGAATATATGTAATTAGGGATTTTATGAAGCCAGTTTGTATTTTCTACCACTTATTTGTACTATACTGACTTTATTTTTCTTAAGTGTTCCGTGTAGCTGAAACGCTTACTGTAGACTTATTTTATTTTGAAATGTAAAAACACCGGATGTTGTTGATGCTTATTCGCTCTTGCTTGACTCTTGTGACTGTCATCAATTTTGACATTTCGTGAGCGTTTACTACGCTTCCTTTGCAGATATTTAACAAACATTTCCAGCCGAACTTTGTGTTTTTAAACGACATAAAAAAAAATACAATTGGCTTTACAGCAGACAGTAATAAAACCGCTTAGATTAATTTCCTGGCCCAGCCATCCTCGGATTTGAGTGTGTGCTCATCCGGATTCAGAGGCTTAAATCAGGTCAAATAGGGAGGTGGTGGTCACTCTTTCCTCCACGTGGTCAATAGCAGTCAAGTATGCTGATACAGCAATGTTAAATGTCACCTATAAAGACCCTATAAATAAATACATATGTATTAATAAGTCTAAACCAAACCAAAAGGCTAAAACTGCACGTTAAAGTATTGCATTTCTGTATGTCTGCATCATCCTCATCTGTCATCATAATCCTTTTATCAACGGGGATTTATGACGGCCTCACGACCCGTTTACAATCCGTCTGAGTGGGATGATAATTTATCCTCTCGGACAATACCGATCTGTGTCGGTTCATCCTTATTCTCTCAATCCATTTAGGCATTGTGTCAATCACACAGCTTTCCAACATGTATGGAAAATGTATGGTTTATGAGTCATTTAATGGATGAAATGTTAAGAGTGATGCCATATGTCCACCAGAGTTCACCAGCAATGTCTTAAGATGTTTTATGTAATCTAAATCCACAGTAGTATTACATTTAGAAAGATACAGAGAAAATTAGTGTAGGTTTTTGTATTTGTAGAGTGGTAAAGAGCAATATTTATTTGCTTGTTTCCAGCAAATCACATAGTTAAAAAAAGATGAAGATTGCTTCCTTTCTTCAGGATCTTATTTCCCTTGTAATTCATGCCACTTTCTATACATTTCTGTCACATAAATCAGTATTTCCTTAAAGACCGGTATCCTGGGCCCTTAGGTGCAAGTCAGCACTTTGTGGGCTCAGCTGTGTGCCGCAGGGTTGTTATTTATCCCACTGAGAATACATAATATATTGTTATGAGCCAGGTGTTGCTGTGTGTACAGACATTATACAACATTTCCTGCCCTGTTTTTGTGTCCGCTTCATTTGCAATGACACCAGTTTGTAAACAACACCCAAAGACAATAACCATTGTGGAGGAAAACAGGGAAGGGTCACCACAGATTTTGCACCTGTTTGTGTGTCTTGTGTGCTGGAGAACTTTTGCATGTTGTGCACACATTTTAGAGCAATGTGCGAGTCTGCTGGAAACCCCCAAGCCTTTTTAGAACGACTCCTCTCTTCCTGCTCCTCAACTAGAGACCTATTGTTCTATGTGTGTGTCCCTGTTGCTATTGGAAACAAATCATCCCTTAGTTTCCATTGGTTACCTATGAAATAAATACACACACAATCAACGATTATGTGTTCTTACTTAACTGATATTAGGCAAAGCAAAGACAGAAATTGCTAATTGAATGCATGTTAATTATAAGCATTTAATAGAGCGACATGATGGCAATATTTTCTTCTCTCTTTTTGATCTCATAAGCCTGCCATGTCCGGTCCCACCTGGCTTCCACCGAGAACTCTGGATAGCTCAGAGAGACCCGTCCCCCAAATGTCTCACTCTGCCGGGTCAGCGATCTACCGAGCCCCCAACAAGAAAGGGACGTCCGACTTCCGGCCGAAATATGGCCACTACGACCAGAATGGAGGAGGTGGAAGTGGAGGTGGTGGAGGAGGAGGAGGAGGAGGTGGAGGAGGAGGAGGGGTGGCGGCTAATAGGTACATGGCTACTGGACCCACAGGTAAGAAAAATACCATTAGTCACGTAGTACAGTAGAGTATTTTTGTATGTTCTAACACTTATCAGAATTCATTGACTGCACATACATTTACACAAAGCAATTTTCAAAATGCAAAACTATGATTGCTTCTGCACCATGGCTATCGTATCTAATAAAATACAATGCGTGTTGCTTATCTTATCTATGCCAGGTGTACACTTACGGTCCTTGTTACTGGTTGACCTCTATTTACTGGCACTGAATATGTGACTAACCTTCAAATTCCTGAACCAAAATAAAATCATTAAGTCTCTCCTACCTGGCCTTTTAGTGTACACCAATAGCAAGGTCTTCACATCAGTTAAGCACACAGGTTTAGCTTCTTATAACATACACCAATCTCCTGATTGTACTGAGGAAATACCTGTCTTTTGGCTGTGTGTTTAATTAGAAAGAATGAACACATTATTCTTTGTTTCCCTCTCCTAAAGGTGGGCCCATTCAGCATCCGTCAAGCGAGCACTATTACGCTCCTCCCCAGGCTCCCAAAGAAGAGCGCAACTGGAGCCCCCACATGGACAGCTACGAGCTCATGGTGGGTTCATTATTCTTGACTGATAATAACGAAACATTTTAGAGTTGTTTTACAATTGGACTTATAGCTTCAATCTCTAAACTGTAAAAACTGAAAAAAGAGCAAATGCACAGTGCTTATTCATGTACTGACATGTTTCTTGTGCTGCTCGGTTTTCAGCACCGCGGTCCTGAGAAGCCGGTGAGCTATCACTCCAAAATCGATGCTGACATTGACTCTCTCACCAGTATGCTCGCTGATCTGGACAGCAACCCACAGGACCCCACCACACAAGTAGGACAATAACACTTTGTTCAAACAAAATGGACACGTTTTTGAGAAATCACACATGCATCAGGCCTAATATTTGAACTGAAACAGAAATACATTTAAGAACTCAACTGAAACCTACAGACTGATTTGTCCTAACCATGGTAAAGGACCTATACATATTCAATTAAATGTGGGAGTTAAAGGTGGGGTAGGTAAGTTTGAGAAACCGGCTCGTGATACACTTTGTTATATTCCATGGAATGCTCTTAACGTCCCGATAGCAATGAACATCTTCAGTGCTTTGCAAAAAATCCATAAAAAAATGTCATCTGTGGAAGCCGTGGCGCTGTAAAAAGCACGACCAATCATCTGAGCCGGCCCGGCTAAAGTAACTTGATGGCCTACCTGCCTGTCAGCCTTCCATCTGTGCACAAACTTATCTCGTGCCCTCATTGGTCATGTGCGCGTTCGTGTGTGTTGGAGGAGGGGCATAGGCGGCGCGTGAGGCTCAGGTTTGGGAAGGCTAAATTACTTTTTTTTCATCTTACGCTGCCCGCCTCCGGCGTCTATAGAGATCAACTCAGTGAAAGCACCGCCTGCTGACCAATCAGAGCTCAGTGTGCAGAGTTTAAATCTATCAAGTCATATTACAGGAAAAAGGAAATACTGTTTGAACTGCTGTATGCAGAGAAGACGCCGACGTGTCGCACTTATCATTCATATCACACTGACATCACATCATCAATCAGATCATCGATCTCACATCGATCTCACAATATTTCCTTATCTGAGTCAGCTTCTCGAGCCGTATCTGGCCGTGCAACACTTAGTTACATTGTCACATACTGTATGCAGACGTATTATTTTAAGCAACACATTAAGTTGACGAAACACTCAACTCAAATGTAATAAAGTCAGATCCCCTCGTGTCTTAGATGGGGCAGTATAAAACTGTTGTACGCTTTCAAACACTCGGTAGTTTATTTTTTAACGAGTTGTTCTGTATTCTCCTTGCAGGTGCAACTATGTGGCTTGTATCCTGGATTATATGTTTAAGTCATGGATGTTTAAAGTTCATATTTGTCTAATATTAGTTTACTTTTCATTAATGAAGTATGATGTTGCGCTGTCAGAACACTTGTCCCTGTTTGTGATTGGTCAAATGTAGCTAACCCCGCCCCTTTCACGTGAACGCGTTCTCAGCTGGAGAGAGAAACCCTGGCTTGATTTACCGAGTTGATAACCAGCGTCGTAGGACCGCTTAGCGAGATCTTGTTTGTTAGGGTTAGTTAAGATAACTCAAACGTATCCAGGGTCTGTTGAACTGGCTTCGTAGTACAGGGCACAGGTGGCTGCATAGCAGCGCTAATGTCAAAGACACACACATTAGACATTATATTTTTATTTTACCAGGATGCAGTTACACAAATATTTGGGAAGGCTTAGCCTTCCCTAGCCTACAGCACCCGCCGCCCCTGAGGAGGAGCTCTGTAAGGAAGTGGCAGATTTTTTCTGGCTGTGAGCGCACTCGAGCTGACCTACCCCACCTTTAAATAGGACTCAAGTTGATTTCCAAATTGTTCAACATTGTGGATACTCCTACAAAGTTCTCTGTCCATGTATTTTGAATGCATGTCATCTAGCTACATTCCTCTGAGACTTTATACCTGGCCCCAACAAAAACAAGTAACGTATTGTAAGAATAAATGAATAAAAAAATGCTAAACTAAAACTAGCAAAAAGTAACCAAAACTTAAAGGTAGGGTAAGTAAGAATGGAGAAACCAGCTCGAGTGCGCTAGAATTTGAAAGTACACAACCGGAAAAAATCTACCCCTTCCTTCAGACTTCCTTACAGAGCCCCTCCTCCAACACACACGAACGCGCACATGACCAATTAGGGCACGAGATAAGTCTGTGCACAGATGAAAGGCTGACAGGCAGGTAGGCCATTCAATTATCTGCCACGGCCGAGGCAGATGATTGGTCGTGCTTTTTACAGCGCCACGGCTTCCACAGATGAAATATTTGTATATATTTATTGTCAAAACATTTAATATATTCATTGCTATCGGGATGTTAAGAGCATTCCATGGAATATAACAAAAAGTGTTTCGGAAGTGAATTGCCTACCCCACCTTTAATGGCAATTAAATTGAAAAGTAAGAACATTCAAAACAATGAAATGAACAAAAAGATTTGCCTTTTAATACATAATCTCTGTGCCAAATCTGCCTGGATACTTACATTTCTACATCTCCTGCCCCTCCACAGCTGTACGACAACGTGCCTTACAACAAGTACCTCCCTGCGGATCACTACAAGCCGGCTCACCAGAGCGCAGCCCCCCCTCAGGGCCGGCCCTCTATGGGCTACCCCCCCCATCCCCAGAGCCAATACCACCCGGCCCCCCGCTACCCCAGCGAGCACCAGACCCCGCAGTACCCCCCCTCCCACCAGCAGGAGTACTACTCCCCCTCTCCCACCCCCAAGCCGTACCCCCAGCCCGTCCCGGCCTCCTACAGCACCGCCTCCACCCCCACCGGGCCCCGCTTCAGCGTCCAGGTGAAGACGGCCCAGCCTGTCACCTACTCTCAGACGGGGAGGCAGGCGGAGCAGGCCTACACCCCCCCGCCCCCCCGCCAGCACGTGTCCCGCCCCCCCCCTCAGACTCAGACCAGTCAGCAGGGCTGGTACCCGTCACAGGCCGCCTCTCAGGCTCAGGAGATGCACTCGGAGGCCGTGTACAAGGGCGGCGGCCCCGGAGGGAGGGGTCACCAGGTGCCTCTGTCCAAGAGAGGGATGGAGAACAGTCACCCAGGGTCAGGGGCCGCTCTGAACCCGGCTTATCAGTCCAGCAAGGTAAGGGAACACATACACATCTGAAGCCTGATTGAACTTATCGCACACACTCAAAGGACAGGATCAGAATGCCATTTTGGTGTTACATAAATGTGCTTTAGTGTATAATGATGCAAACATAACACAGTTTAAGGAATAAGGTTAGTTAGGATTGTTAGTTGTAAAAAGGGGGCAAATGTAGAACAAGTATAAAAAAAACTATTAAAGAAAATAAAAAAGGAAATTTACAAGAAATGTAAATATTCTTAATATAGTATAGAACAAATCAAGATAATTTGGATACAAAACACCAAACACAAGCAGCCATAAGAGAACCTAACATTTAAATTAAATCACAAAGTAATGAAGTAGTAAAAAATAAATATAGTTAATACAATTTAATTATCTGAACAGACCCAGTTCTAAATAATTGAATACTGAGTTGGTTATGAAAGGCGCATTTTTGTATTCTTTCTTCCAGCAGGGCATAGCAACGAGCCGGCCTGAGGACGAGTTAGAGCGACTCACTAAGAAGTTGGTATATGATATGAACCACCCCCCCGTCGAGGACTATTTTGGTACAGTCGCTACTCTCTACATTAATAACTAATGACGCTGCATTCTGGTATTTGAAATAAAAACAAACCCAGACATGTAACACTCTTCCAGGTCGCTGTGCGCGGTGCGGAGACAACGTGGTCGGTGACGGCAGCGGCTGCATCGCCATGGAGCAGGTGTTCCACGTGGAGTGTTTCACATGCATCACTTGCCACGCCCGTCTCCGGGGGCAACCCTTCTACGCCCTCGACAAGAAGAGTTACTGTGAGAGCTGTTACATTGTAAGTCAAGAGATATCCCGAGAAAAAACAATACGAGAAAAAAGTCTGATATGTTTGAGAATAAAACAAAAATATCCTCTGAGATTAAAAAGTCAGAAATTTGCCAAATTATTATTATTAAAATGTTTTGTCATGGAATCCCATTATTTAACTTGCAAGGATTGACCAACCTCAACATATTTGCAACTTTTGGATTTGACAAATTTGGGACTTTTACCCTAAAAAAGCCAATTTTGCAAAAAATTTACTCGCAACATTTCGCAAATTTTACTCGCTAAATAAAAAACATTTACTCGCACATTTTTTACGTTTTCCTCGCAAATCTTCCTCGTAAATGTCTTACATTTTCCTCACAAAGATCTAAAATATTCCTTGCAAATTGCTGGTTTTTTTCTCTGTCAGTTTTCTCTTTTCAAATTTTTCGGTCTCTTTCCCGGCAAATTTAGCAATTTAATCTCAAAGGATATCCACACTTTCTTTTTCAGAAATGGGCGACTGTAATCTCTGAAATTCAGAATTTCTTCTTCTTACCTACAAATGCTCTTATAAGCTGGTTTATAACCCCTTCCTCACTCAATTGTTTTACGGGTTCTTATATTTTTGGTTTAATGTAGTTTCTCCTGCAGTGCTCCTTCTTTCTCTAATCCACACTTGTTCTGCTCATCTCGTCAGAGTACATTAGAGCGCTGTTCAAAGTGCTCCAAGCCCATCCTGGACCGTATCCTGCGGGCCATGGGGAAGGCCTACCACCCTCGCTGTTTCACATGTGTGGTCTGTAACTGCTGTTTGGACGGGGTCCCCTTCACTGTGGACGCCACCTCTCAGATACACTGCATAGACGACTTTCATAGGTACGAAGGCATTCAAGCGCCATGATGTTACCCCTGGTCTTCTTTACTTGCTCAGGCGTAAGAAGGCAGACGTGTGCACTAACTGTAAATGTCGATGCTTGGTGTCCCTGACAGGAAGTACGCTCCTCGCTGTTCGGTGTGTGGCGAGCCCATCATGCCCGAGCAGGGTCAGGAGGAGACGGTGAGGATCGTGGCTCTGGACCGAAGCTTCCACGTTAACTGTTACGTCTGTGAGGTGAGTCAGGACAGGATTATATAACATCATATATCAGAAACATCAGGACTTAAGTAAAAATAAGTTTTGGTTTAAGTACTTAAAAAGCTCCTTTTTGGTTTTTAAGGAATTCCTGGTGTCACATTTTATCATTTAAAAGCAAAATGACTGTCACAACTGACCTTTTGAACGTTATATAACTGAGATAGATGTACCCGTTAAATAAAAGGGAAACCTTTTAAATGATAATAATAATTTTTCTGAAGTAAAATATTTACATTTTCTTCATTTTAGTTTAAATGACCGACTCAAAATGTGGAAGAATATATACAGCATTAATTTAGCTTAACATCCGTGGTAAAATGAAGGGAACAAATACAAATAGGTGACAATTAAGTCAGTTTGGTGGATATCTTTTGCAAAAAATGTAATAATTTCTATATTTTGTATTTATTTACTTACTTATTTATTTACTCATTCATTCATGCATTTATCTATTATTATTTTTCAAAGTTAGGGCTCTAATCCATGCCTAAACTTACATTGAAACACCGTACCTCTACAGGGGAATCCAATGTTCTGGAGTGGATTTGATATACTTTGATATACATCATGATTCAACATAAGTGTTTATGTGAGCTGACTGAAGTGTCTTTCCATCAGGAGTGCGGTCTCCTGCTGTCCTCTGAGGGCGAGGGGCGGGGCTGTTACCCTCTGGACGGCCACATCCTGTGTAAGAGCTGCAGCGCCTGCCGCATCCAGGACCTCTCGGCCAAAATCTCCACCGACTGCTAACAGACCTGCTCCCACCTTTTCAGCACACGTTACACATTGATGGCGCAGACAGGAAACACCCCTGCTGTGCTCAGACTCTTTTTTACCCTTTTTCTCTGACCGTGAGCTGACATACAGCTCCCTCTGTTGGTATCCAGCTGTAATTTAATTTGCAGAAGAACATTTCCTGACATGGAGTTACCACCTTCCTTTCATTCTGATGTCCTACACAGCTTTCCTTCGGTACACGTCTGCTCCATTTGTCACGTTTAGTTCAGTTTGACAGTGGCCTGACCTGCAGGCAGCTTGGGCTCCACTTACCATGTGTTCGGTACTGCTCAGCTATTAACTTGCACATTATAATAACTGTCAAAGACAATGAAAGTAAGGAAGGATATCACACATTTAGACGGGAAAATGAAGCAAAGGATACATGCTAATTAGACTACAACAATAGGACATGTACGTTTGCAGAACTGCCTCAAAAGGAGCGATTTAAAAGCACATTGCAACAACTGTGAGTGTACATAAAGGGCTGGTTTGGTTACAGACTGTTTTTGAAAAGCGTGTAGCTTTTAGTGCAGTGGATGTTTGCAGAGACGTAGCCTCATAGCAGGAGAAATGTAGACGAGAGGAATGTGTAGTCAACCTTTTATTCTTTAGCTTATTATAGTAAAATATCCGCTAGAACAAATCCCTCATTAATCTCACGCTTATTACAGGATCTTTGTCTCCAAATCACAATCATGCTTTTTTTTTTTTGTTGGTTGATACTTGACCTTTACATTGAAGATGATGGTGCAATGAAGTCTTAGGAAAACAGGGTGTTGGTTACTCGTGAGGTATGAAAGCGACGTATTGTGTGAAGGGTTTGGAAGAGAAAAACTCATTGTTCTCAATTGGGTAGATTTACTTGACACGTTTGTATACATAATGGTTGTTCTTAACTTTCGACAACATACGATATGATGCATTTCCCCCCCAAACATTGATTGTGATTTTGAACATCCTTGCACTCATGTGGGTCGAGACTTTAGAGCCACAGATTTGTTACGATTGTGTTTAACCTCTGTGTTTCCGTCCTCATTTTGTACTTGTGTAACTTAAAGGGCTTAGACATGTAAAAGCCTTAACTCAAGGATGTCATTTAGTTTCATTATAATCCCTTTTTTGAAACCCTTTGTCTATGAATTCCACCATTTTTTTTGTTTGTTATCATGCTAAAACGGTTCAGTGTCTTGTTAATTTATCTCATGATGTATATATACTGTAGTGTATTAGTCTGATTTGTATCATTAATGTCATTTCATTCATACCCAAAAGTGTCATTTCAAAAAATCTGACCCATGCCAACTCGTGTGTCAAACACCTTTTCCTTTTGTTTTCATTCTTACTCTGTTTGAAAAGCTGTGAATTGGAGCTTGTAAATCAAAGCCGCGGTACTGCAGCAGACCTCTGCTGAATTCACTCTGAGAAGAAGGAGGCCATGTTGAACACAACAGGCTGTTGATGTAGAAATGGAAGTTTGTTACACTAATGGATTTTCTCCTAATACAGGTAGTAGTTACATCATTGATTATTAAAATGTCAGCAAGTTAAAAGTGTGTCTTATTTAAACTCAAAGTGTTCAAAATCATCATAACGGTGTTGAATGTCCTAATCTTAGTGCATATACAAAACGAAGTTGCTTAGGTTTAAAGTACACAATAACATTTATGTATCCTTAATAGATAGGACATTCATTTTCTTAATTTGTCCAATACTGAGAATGTAGTAATACTATGGTATTTTATAGCTCCTGGGTACATTTTTACCTGGTTCGATTTAGAAAAACAAAAGGCTTGAGGAGTTTGAAAGACCAGAGGGGAGAGCAGACCAAAATTGCAATTAAGCGCATTATGGGAATTTTAATGATAAAGTGTTTTAGGAGGATAGACCCATACTTAAGTATAAAAGTCATGATATATCAGATCCTGCAGCTTCAATTCTACTGTTTTTTGTTAAAATGTCTCTCCTGTCTCCAAACCTAATGAAAGTGCAATACAACGCTACTCAGGTACCCCTTTAAGACACAAACAAAGGTCAAATCAGCATATTACATTACATTGCATTTAGCTGACGCTTTTATCCAAAGCGACTTATATATATATATATCAGTTGACAAATGTTCCCTTTTAAAGCAGAACATTTTATTTGAGACTTTGTACATCTCTGGAAATCGACAATCTATTACTGGTATTACAATAACCAAAACTCTTGTGTGTTTGGCATTTCGCAGCAGATGATCCATTTAAAACACGAGTGAGCAAACAGATTTAATTTATCATTAAAAAGCATATTTAAAAAAACAAAGTTACTCCAACTTGAACTGCTCTAACACGAGGTGAATGTCTTCCAGAAGAAGTTGCGGCAGCCTATTTTGCGTTCTCTGTGGCTGAGGGGGAGATGTCTCCTCATCACCTCCTCCCGGACCCCCCCCTCCTCCTCCTCCTCCTCCTGCAGCTCGGGGAGCATCTCGTCTCCTCTCGCCGCCAGCAGCTCGGACACAAACTTCAGCAAGAGCAAGTGAGTCAGACCCTGCAGGAGGACACAAAACACGCACTTGTAGTCACGTCATTCCTTATTAAAATGTCAGCAAGTTGAAGGTGTCACTTTGTATTCAAACACAGTCCGATAAAAGGGCCATTCACCAATTCGATATTTTTACTCACTATGTCAAATAACAACGAAAGGGTATTGTTAATCTTTATTTGATTGTATTTCTAATTCACGTGCGATGTCTTGACGAAAACATTTCCCAAATTGGGATCAACAAAATGTATCTTATCTTAATATTTGAACAAACTGCTATTCTTGCTGATACTGCTTATCGATAACAGTCCTTTTATTGCTTTTTATTTTTTTGTGAGTAAAAACGAAACAATTGAACAAGAACATTTACAATTGTTTATTTGCATTTGCATTGTAAGTAAAAAAAAAAAAAAGATTGAGTAAGAACTTTAAGCATTGTTTTCAAACTAACTATTACTATTGTTGGCTATTTTGTTCTGATTATGGTAATTTAAAGTATAAAGGCACTTTAATATGAGAGTTGATCCCTTTAATGACTGTTAAATATCCAACTCACAATTTTAACATGACACCAACAAATGATTTAGTTCCAAAAATACTAAAATTAGATAATACCTATTAATTGAAAATAATAAGAAAAAAGGATATACGAAAAAAAAATGCATAAATATATTAAAGAACAACAGAGTTAATTAAAATGGTTGTCGATAAGTTATATTTCATCCATGCTTCAAATATAGTGAAATATCCAACCCAAATCCCAGCCCTTTGAGTCACCCACCTTGTCCGTTGCGAGCTGTGCTCTTAGTGCCAGCATGTCTCTGCGTGGAGCAGCTCCGACCTGCACCAGGAGCCCGGAGGAAAACAAGGCCACAAGAAGTATCTGCACCTGAGAGCGAAGCATCTCCATCTCAAACAGCAACACTCCAATAACCCCTGATTCTCTTTTCAACGCTGTGCAAAAGTCCCAAATATAAACAATCAGGAAAACAGGGTGGGATGTTGGAAGAGCTGAATGTTATCACTGTTTGAGTAGGATGTGTTGGGCTGATAAATAGGCTTCTTCATCTTCAAATCTTCCTCATCCTCCAGGAAACAAAAGGATGTGATTGGTGGAGAAGGAGGAGGTGGAGGTTGTGTGTCACCGGATGGGAGAAGGTCATCACTCGCCACGACGAACGCTCCTGAAACACCTCCAACAAAAGCTCCAAAAACTTTTTTATTAGTAATTTACTAAGTTTGTGAAATATCAATTTGAATGGTAACATATGACTTTACTTCTGTCAGTCATGATTATTAGTAAGTGTCCTGGTGTCATCGTGAGGGCTGCATGCTGTGCACTGTTGTTAATGACACAATGTGACTCAAATGTTAATGAGGCGGATTAGCGGTCCACCCTTTGTGCCGTCACTTTGGCAAATAAACATGGAAATCATCTAAATGTCAGATGTTAGTGTTTGGTCAAGACACGAAAACGTAACTATGTGGGTTATTGCACATTTAAAAGAGGACATCACATAATCGGTATGTTACTTCTATTAACACTACATGGAAAAACACCACTGTTTAAATTGTAAAAAAGCATTTTCTATTTTATGTTATTTTATCTTTTCACTACACGTTCTGACTTCAACTTCTTCTGTTTGTACATTTTTTCCTTTTTTTTTTCATTCCAAAATGGAGAAATTGTCACAAACCCAAAGTTCCCCCAAGTGTTCTGCTTCTTCTTATCCAGATATATGGATATTTAAAGTCCTTTTTGCTGTTGTTAATCGTTTTATATTTTTCTTTTCTGCTAACGAGCTATGTCTGATACAGTACACTGCATCAGCTGCACTTTATTTAAAACGTGACCATTAAGTAATAAAATAAACACAAACATGCCATTAACCAAGTCAACCCAAAGCACTACTGTTTGAACAGCATATGAGTAATAAGTATCATTTTCACGTCTCGTCCTTAAATAGGCGTTGACCTTTTCTCCACCGCAGGACTCTCACTGATAAGTCTGATTACTCAGTCTTTAATCGTGACATTACTTGACTTTAAGTAACATTTTCCCTGTAGTGGGGATGTGATGACTGCAGGCGTCCAGCTGTGCTGCTCCGGACAAAGTAGATGTGTCCAACAGTGCGATGATCACATGAATCACACGTCCTCCGCCTCTACACCTGCTGCTACATGATCAAAAATAGTGTCTTTCTTCCCGCAATTTGTCAGGGTTAATTGTCTTCACCTATGGATAACACGCAGTATAATTCCCCATGTTGTTTCCTCATATAGGATTCTTCATTATTTCATCTTTAAAACAAGCTGGTGGGTCACACATTTTAACAAGAACTATTCCCAACGGAAGAGAGCAATTCAATATTTACAATTCACGTTATAGTTTCATGTACAAGTTCAAATTGAGTGCTTGATGAATCCGAGGACTCCTTTTTTAGCCTTTTACTCTTCTCAGTTTGTCTTGTGTTTTGCAAAGTTCAAATGATTACAAATAAAAATGGCAAATGATGGGTTTTATTCAAACCTTTTGGCTTAACATAACTGATAAAGTGAGCAACTAGTGAGTTATATGTTTGTGAAGAAAGCTGTGTTTATAATTTCAAGCTGCCAAGATGTTTGTGAAATGTAAGAACATAGCCTTTATTTGGTTGTAACAGTTTGGTGCTCATGGGGATGGCTAGATTTCAAGCCAGCCAGAGTATGAGTCAACCAGCACCTGATACCGTTTTGCATGCCACTTGAAGATGTCTGTTGCCACTGTGGACCATGGGAGATCTGGCACAGGATGAAGCTGGAGGGGCTCCTTTTGCTGATGGGACCTGGTGCTGTTGCACACTGCACATGAAAGCAACTCCTCAGTGATGTCTCTAGACATTTCTGGCCAAAAAAATGATGCTTCTTGATCGGCGTTTGGTTGCTTCAATGCCGGGGTGTCCTCTGTGCACTATTTTGATTTTGACCGAGTGTGCGTCACCCAGCGGACTGTACCGCTCCAAAACCGAGGCTGTGGACCTCAGTTACCTCATTCACACCAACGGTGTTTCAGGGTCGGTTCGGAGCTGGAGCTTGAAAAGCACCGGGTTTTCCTGTTCACACCGCAGCGGAGCAGCCTCTTAGCTCCGGAATCCGGTTCGTTTCAAGCACCAAAAAACGGTCCGGCCAGAGCAAAAGCACCGCATACGTCACGCTTACGTCGAGGCGGGGGCAGGGGCAGGGGCGGGATCAACTCCTGAACAACAACATAAAGCCGGCGTTGTATCCAGTTTGTACACAACGATGGAGAAACTTAACAAGCAGCAGTGGTCCACTGAAGAGACCAGCTACCTACTGGGAATCTGGTCTTCCGAAGAGGTACAGAGGAAGCTGGAGCACAATCGTCCATTGTTGTTGTTGTCGGTGTGAGCTGTGAGGGATTTCCGCGCGGTTTGGCTTTATGAAGCAGGCACGCAAACGGTTACGTCATGACGCAAACGATGACGCAGCACCAGTCGGACTCTGTGCGGTGTGAAAAGAGCCGGAGCTAAACCGAAGAACCGGTTCTGAACCTGAAAAGCTCTAGCACGGAGCTTGAACCGGAGTTGCGTTGGTGTGAATGAGGGCACAAGGAAACGAGCCCCTGGTTGCAGACTCCTTACGCATCCCCTCGTCGTGCAATACGTAAACACAAGAACAACAGGAAACCCAGAACTCCCTTCACAACCGCTCAGCTGCTGTCTCTGGAGAGGAAGTTCCATCAGAAACAGTACCTGTCCATCGCAGAGAGAGCGGAGTTCTCCTGCTCCCTCAGCCTCACAGAGACCCAGGTCAAGATCTGGTTTCAGAACCGCAGGGCCAAGGCCAAGAGATTGCAGGAGGCCGACCTGGATACATTCAAGCTGGTCGCGAAGCCGCTGCTGCCGGCCTTCAGCTTCCCCTTCCCCATAGGTGCTCTCACCTTGCTTCTGATTTCTTGAATGAAACTTGTGCCTTTCCATTATTTTGTTATGTTGAGGGTTGCATATTTCACAGAATTTCCGTATCCTCCCTTGATTCAGCTGGGGAGATCACCGCACCGTCGGGGCCTGGCGCGCGCACTTCAGCTGCATACATAAAGGATCGTTCACGTTCAATGGCTTCTGGTCCAGCAAGATTGAGGAGGATGTAAGCCTTAAATCCTGGCAGCATTGTCTGGGTGCGCTGCGGCGATGAAGATTTCATACTCCCTCTCGAAGATCCGCCAGCTCTCCGCGACGTTTCCCTCAAACATAACAGGGTCGGGACGGTGAAATCCATCCGCCATTGTGCTAGCTGGTCCGTGGAATAAAATCCGTGGAATAAAATTTCTCCAGACGAGAGGCTCGTGCCGTCTTTTGACACCATGTAGAAGTTGTTGATACTTCTTAATACATGCATGTGTGTAGGCTATATCAGGCCCGGTCCCAGAACAAAATGACTCGGGGTGCATCTGAGATTAGAGAGGGTGCAGTGGTAAAGTGCTATTTTTATAAGTAGTGAGTGAACCTAACACCCTCTCGGGGGGTCCTCACCTCCTCTAGGAGAGTCCTCACCTCCTCTAGGGGGGTCCTCACCTCCTCTAGGGGGGTCCTCACCTCCTCTAGGGGGGTCCGGGGGCATGCTCCCCCGGGAAGATTTTTTTTAAAATATTGAAGTTAAAAGCATCAATCTGGTGCACTTTGAGAGCAAAATGAAGAGATCTATGGATACATCTCTCAACACCCATATGAAACAGAACTGTAAACAGATTTACTTTTTCTCTATGGATATTTTACAAATCACTCCCCTTTCAAGACCGAAATGTCTACATGCATAGCAGAAGATGGCATCTTTTTTACAGGAATATTCCAGCCTATCTCTGTTTTGAAACCATGAGCTGCAAAATGAGCGCCTTACCCCACTGTACAGGCGAGTTGGGTACTTTTTTAAATATACCTGGGCAGGCTCTGTTTTGCCGAGGTCCTCTGGCACATGCGGGCCGCTGAGGGGTGGCGGTGCTTGGGGCAACGAAGACGGCTGCTCCACCTCTGTGGGCGAGGCGGGCAAAGCCGGCGAGTCAGGCGGGAGGACTGCGGGTAACGTAACGTAACAGGTCCCCATGATCTGAACTGTTATTACCTGCAGTAGATGCAGTGTTACTGCTGGCGATAAGGGCTGGTTGTTTTAACCATTTTCTGATGTCCATCATTGACTGCTGTGTAAGCACCTTGCAGATGACGAACGCGCAGCGGCACAGGTCACGCGCACCTGACATAATAACGTTACTTACTGTTTAAATTGACCAAATAAATGCAGCAGACAATGTTATTTAACCACAATTACAATTTATTTACTATATTCTTTTTTATTATTATTACTACTATTATTATTATTGTTATTATAGGCCTATATGTAATATCTTTAATTTGTAATTCTTTTTTTTCCTTCACTTTTCATTTTTCAAATGAGGGTGCATAACGACTCAACTGAGGGTGCAATGCATCCTTATGCACCCCCGTAGAACCGGGCCTGGTGTATGTACAAGCAGGGGCGCCGTAAGGGGGTTAAAAGTTAGGACGATTCTAAGGGCCCGTGACTGATAGGGGCCCCAAACATTTTTAGAACATTAAGAAAAAATGTCTAAGTAACCTTTGATCAATCATCAATAATTAACATTAATATAACGTTATATTGATAACTCACTAAACTTACGATTCATTTCACTTTTTTTCTTCCAAAAGTTAATTATCCAAAGCCTCTGTACACCCCCCTCTATTTACATGTAATGATTTGGTCCTGCCTCCAAACGCTGTGCGGCACCGCTCTTTCTAGCAGCAGAGAGTGAGAGCATAGGAGCAGGGATGCTAGTAGTTACGTGTGAACCATGTCTCAACGACTCACAAAGTCAGGCTTTCAAAAAATAAAAGAAAGGAGAGAAAGACAAGAGAGGGACTAAAGGGCGACAGTATGTCACCCAGTTGTTCAAAAGAAGAGGTGGGTGTGGTGGAAATTAGTCTGTTAGCTAAGCTTAGTCCATTGTAAATAATAATTGTAATGTTTTGCTGACATTAAAGGTGGGGTAGGTAAGTTTGAGAAACCGGCTCGAGATACACTTTTTGTTATATTCCATGGAATGCTCTTAACATCCCGATAGCAATGAATATCTGAAGTGCTTTGACAAAAAATCCATTAAAAAATGTCATCTGTGGAAGCCGTGCTGTAAAAAGCAGGACCAATCATCTGAGCCGGCCCGGCTAAAATAACTGGATGGCCTACCTGCCTGTCAGCCTTCCATCTGTGCACAAACTTATGTCGTGCTCTCATTGGTCATGTGCGCGTTCGTGTGTGTTGGAGGAGGGGCTCTGGAAGGAAGTGGCAGATTTTTTTCCGGCTGTGTATTTTCAAATTCTAGTGCACTCTAGCTGGTTTCTCCAAAATGACCTACCCCACCTTTAAGTTCTGTCAATATCTTCACAGAAAATTCAGAAAAGGTTTTTCCTTTCACTCCTCTTTTAGCTGACATTTAATAAATGCAGGTACATTTTTAGCAGCTATTCATACTAAACCAGTTGTCCCTCCCCCTGGTGCCAGGACCAACAGATCCATCTTTAGGCTCTGCAGCCCTGTCCTCCCATAAGGCTTTGCAGTCTTGCCATGCTGTCCATTGAAAGCCAGTTGGCTAGAAAGATGGACTTCAAGGACTTGATCAGTGACTTTGCCTGTAAGAAGGCTAGGCGCTGGCCATCCAGTTATTTTAGCCGGGCCGGCTAAAATGATTGGTCGTGCTTTTTACAGTACTACGGCTTCAACAGATGACATTTTTTAATGGATTTTTTGTCAAAGCACTTAAGATATTCATTGCTATCGGGATGTTAAGAGCATTCCATGGAATATAACAAAAAGTGTATCTCAAGCCGGTTTCTCAAACTTACCTACCCCACCTTTAATGTTCACTTTATTTTAATTTAAGAGGTCATGTATATTTAAGTTATATTTATTTTGATTTATGAATGTTCCATTCAAAAATGTCATTAAAAAGGCATGTACACCATAAAAGATAAAAAGATAAAAGACTATTAAGGTCTATTGTCAGGAATGTTAGTCTCATATCGTCTTAATAGTGAATTCTGCAGCAGAATGTTGCAGTAGAATTTGCAGTCTGCACAGTGTTATATTTTCACCGCTCAGTGTCAGTAAATATTGTGCAGTTAGTATTGGACTACAAGATAGATTCAAGTTTAAGATATTTAAAGCATAAATGAGTGGGTTGGGTTCTGGAGGTGTGGTTACAGCAATTGTGCTTGGTTGGCGTGGCCTATGCCTGGTGGTGGGGCCCAATGTGATATCTTTTCATGGGGCCCAAAATCCCTGGCGGCGCCCCTGTGTACAAGGAATACACAATGCATAGGCAAGTGGTGGCTTTATGACCACAGCATGTACAGTGAACATGTACGTTGCATGCCGACTAATAATTGAATGCCTATTACCTTAACCGGGTCACCAGGTGGCGCACTAGCTACAGTGGCCTGCAAAGGACAAACGTAATCATTATGCGAATGATCTATTCTACAGTATCCCTGGGAGTTTTTGCTCGTTAGATTTGCAGTTAATTAAGAGCTGTGTTCATGAAGATGAAGGCCGTGAAACCCTGAGGTGTGTGTGTGTGCTTGTTAGCTCCTCCTCGTTAGTTAGAGTCAGTCAAAAATGGCGACATCTTCGAGATGTAAACACAGCTGACAGCTTTCAAATCGAGACATATAGCTTTGAATGAACTCAGTTTACATTTGCTTTTTCAAAATGAAAGTATCTTTCCATATGTTGTGTGGGTAAGTTAACAAGTTGAAGATACACGCATGGTTTAAGTGTAAACCCGTAGCCTATGCTAAAACGAATATATTTGTTTCAGTGTGGTGTTGCTGTTCACCTCATCTTTCTGTGTCACCAGTCCAGTGCCGACCATGGTGCCGACAGGTAAGACCATTTTAGTAACAATGTGTGGTACCATACATCTAAAATACCTATGTCAAAGACAGTAAATATAAATAAAATAGTTTGTATCACTCTCAGAGAGCTCCTGTCTGAAATGATACTGGATAATGAGGTTTACAATACAGTGTGCTTTTATTTTATTGCCTTCATTAAGATTACATTGTCTAATAAGAGAAAAAATGGCTTTATAATTTGGCAATTTCACATATAATGCCACATATAAATAGTCAAAGGTATGTTCAAAGCAATACATTGTCTACCACGAGTATGCATTTCATAAGAAAAGTGTTTTCACGCTATGTAAAACTAAATAACATTAATTCATTTTAATATATTTGTATTTAAAGGCCCTCAAAAAGTCTATACAATAATGTGACATTTTTGCCCCTATTGCATGCATTTTTTTGTCTACTAATGAATGCTTAGAGTTAGACTATGCAGAATCATACAAATACCACTTGAATGAATATTCACATTAAAATAATCACATTAATTACATTTTTTATTTTGTTTTGGAATTACTTGGGAACTGATGCCAGTGTTAATGTTTTCAGGAACATTTAAGACCAAATGTCTTGAACGTCACTTTTGGCTTTCTGTCAAGTCCAACTTCCTTGGCTCGAGGGTCCACTTTGACTTTGAAGGTAAGTTTCTTTATTTTCCTCAAGAATGTTTTTCCTAAATTGATGGTCAAAAATGTAATTTAGATAACAACAAAGTATATGTTGATGACCTTTTAACTCTAAACCACCAGACCGGTATGGATTCCACTCTTTGTCTGACCATGAGGCCACACTGTGTGGTTACACTGTCCTGGCCAATGATGTTGGAGACTTGGTGTTTCGTGCCTCCTTCCTGGCCTGTTATGTCCACAGCGAGGTAGGTTTTTTTACTTTGTTAAGCTTTGATATATATCGCAGGGTTGCATTCCTCACATCACTGTATCTTTCTGCAGGGAGGCACAGACTATCACCTGCGTCTTTGGTTTGTGAAACTGCATGAGGATGGGAAGGTTGCAGCGTATCCCTTCCAGCTCCACTGCTCTCTTCGGGGGCAGTGGAGCACCAGAGAGATCGTCTGTGAGGAGAACTACATGGAGGTGAATTAATAACCGGCCGATTTATATAATCACATCCACAGATTTAGGTTTAATTCTGAATGTAAGCCTTTTAAAAACAAGTGCTAGGGCTTATAGAAGATAAACAATTTTTGTGACCATATATCAACTCTCCTATTTTCCTATCTAGGTGTCCATCCAGCAGCCTTTCCTGCCTATTACATCAAAAAATGAGAAGGTAATTAAATATGGTAAATCCTTGCACTCACAAGTTGATCAACCAGTAGGCGAAAAAAGCATGACACACTTTTCATGAATGGCAGCCCCCTCCTTTGCATATAGAACTGTACGATGAAAACAACATGCACAAGTTTGGGTGAATAAAATGAGGTTAAATTCTATGTAAATTAATAAAATAATTAATTCTATATAAGTCCTTCATAAGTAAATAGCAGAGACGTGTTTTTTTTTTTCATGATTCTGTATTTGTTGTAACAATCATTGACTAGAAATCCTACGATATATAGCACCAAAAGGTTTCTTCATATTTGCAGGAAGAATATGTTTTAAATTATATATTCCAATTTTGCTTCACAAATGACTTCATTAAGCATCTCTTTGTCTCTGAGCAGGGAGTTGATGAGGCAGACATGGCTGTGATGTTCCACTATGATTCCCAGCCACCAGAGGAAGCGAGGTTCTTCTCCCGGAAAGAGGCTGCTGCTCTGGGCTACCACATCTCACTGCGAGGCGCCCACCTCAGCCTCCGCTGTCCCTACTCCTCCCCGCTCTCATACTTAGTCAAGGTGCCCATTCATGGATATTGTTTACTCGAGATTAGGCATGCTTCATTTTTATTTATCTGGTTGCTTTGTGTGGGTGTTTTTTCCCAGGAGAGAGGAGTGGATTTAGTGATTGTCAGAGCAACTATCCTGTACCGACTCCAGAGAAGCTTCCTAGCTGTTAACACCACTGTCGCCTGTGCTCTGAGTGAGTACGCTTTATCAATATTACACTATTGTGCAAATACCAGAGTAAAATGTCTCCTTTGTCTCCTTTCTCACACCCAGACGAGGCTTCAGCAGATGGCTCTGATCTGCTGTGGACTGTTCCTTACATCCTGACACCGTTAGTCCATGGTGAGTTCAGGTACAGAGGCATGAAGATCGGAGTGAACGGCCAGGATCTGAGTGAGTCTGGATATAAAGAGAGGGGATACAAAATCAGCCTGCAGGAGGGAAAAGTGGAGGTCAGGATTCCTCTAGCGGCCCCAGGTGGACACATGAAGGTATGCAATCAAATGTGTTGTACAGAGAATTGTGTAACATTTCTTCAATTCTTTGCTAAAGACAACTGTTTGCACACATGTTTCTCAATTGTTTTTCTTGCTGTGAATGTCCCAGAGTGGTGTTGTGAGAGGGCAGTACAGCCAGTCCATGTCTGTGGATTTGTCCTTCATGAGTCAGTGGGAGGACGAGCGCTGGCCTCTAACACAGCATCGCTCCTTCAGGCTCCTTAAGACTCCTCTCATCCCTCAAATCCCAGTCTTCACCAGCAGTAAGGCCTACTTTAACCATGCTAACTTGTTTGAACTGGTTTTGTTATGTTATTTAATAGTAGAAGATATATTGATTTGACAAAAGCAGTTATGGTTGCATTGCAAAGCTCCCCTTTACCCTTCTCTTATTGTAGCATAACTATGTGAACATTGCGTTATTAAAAACGACACAAATATTTTTTTATTCTGGATTTCGAATGATAGTAAGAGAAATAATAACACATTTTTGGCCTTGGACATCATTGTAATTTAAAACGTTTTTATTTTTGCATGCAGTTGGCATATTGTGATGTAAATCAATGGCAGACAAACGTTATTTTTGTTATCTTAAACGGAAATAATAATTAAAGTTTGTTACGTTTTTTGGGGTGGTCTATTTATGATTTAAAAAAGTATTTAAAATATTCCACTCTCTCTGTAAAGACTCTGTCCCATCCTTAGGATTGCTCTCCGTCACTTTAGGCCTCTTTGCCCCTGATGTTTCCCTCCAGAAGGTGACATTAGATGGTGGAGGCGAGCTTCTAACCTGGACTCAAACTGAAACAGACGACCTCAGTGTGTCCAGGCTCTCCCACTCAAACGGGAGCCACTCCTACCAGCTTCGTTTCCCATTGTCACACCCGAAAATAATCCCAGAGGTGAGATTTACCAACACTGAGCCAGTTGTACTATGTGTAGAAGCTGAAAAATATGACCCTGCTGTGTAATCCCAGTACATAGGTGGTGGCTACAAGACATACAGCCTCTCTTTCACCTTTACCTTTAACATCTTACCCAATGGAGAGCAGTTTTACCATCGAGCCACTATAGAGCATAGTGTTGAATACATAGGTGAGTTATTGATACATCCCCATTGCTCCCGACCAGTTTTAAATCAATATGTTGATGATACCCTATCTATCAGCTCCAACTTCCCCCAAGCTGGAGGGAAAGTGCACAAAGAGAGGCCTGCTGGTGCTGCTGCACCACGGGGCCCAGGCGGACCTGCAGTGGGAGCTCTTCCTCGGAGCTCACAAACTGGACTGGGACCTGGTGGAGATGGGTGGGTTTGTGATGGAGGCGGATGAGGACTACTTTACTGTTGAGATCCCCCGCTACAGCCCATGGATGAACTACGTGGTGATCAATCAAAGTTTATATTGACCTGATGTGTTTTTAACAATTACTTTAGGTTTTGGATATGCAGTTGATGGTTAGCATGCCTCCAGTTTTGAGAAACATCAGGAGCAAAGAGGCAAAACAATGTACTGCTTGTATTTAAGCCACCAAAAAGAATGGCCCAATTGAAAATATAAATTATAAGTGTATTTTGTACACTTTTACCTAGCAGATCTTTCCAGGGAGGAATTAAAGGCGATATATCTGTCTTGCTAAAAAACTCCCAAAACTTTTTTTTTGCATTTACAGTGTATTTGACTTTAAAATATTCCTTCTTTGGTTTGCTTCTTTTTTCCCCATGCAGGAGCTGACATTGCAGGGTCTTGTCTCTGGAGTGGAAGTGTCTGTTGTGGACGCTGACTCTCTGAAAGCAAAGGACACTCTTGTCCTTAAATGTACATTTCCTGTTCTGGAACTACTAGGTAAATCTCACAAGCTCAAACTGAAGCACATTTTCCTTTAGTTTCTATTAGTCTCCTCACTCAGACTGTTTATCTGGCAGTATGTTTGCCAGAAGGGAGGATGGTAGCAGTCGTCGACACCACCCACACTAACCCACCCAATCACCCCAACCGGACCACCCTATTGGACCCCAGCTGTATTCCCGTGGAGACGGACAGCACCAGAGCCTTGTTCAGCTTCAGCCTGGACTCCTGTGGGACGACTGTCACTGTGAGAGAATTTAATTGATACAAATTCACACTCAAAATATGTTTTCTGGCGTGTTTCTGATCTTATCCGATTTTCCTCAGACTGAGGGAAATGTCCTTGTTTATGAAAATCAGATCAGTTACACTCAAGAGTTTCTGCCTCCGGATGATCCTCTCATACACAGAGATTCTCCATACAGGTGGGAAACATACAAACTCAATCAAGCAGTGTTTAAACCGGATAATAATGTTTATACTTTGTCTGTTTTAGGTTGACAATTCAGTGTCGCTACCCAGCAAACCATACTACAACTCATGCTATCCAACAGCCTTTAAATAACTCTCTGGACCTTTCACCTGTGCACATCACACGCCCACGCAGGGAAGCTGCAAACACAGGTGTGTGTGTGTGTGTGTGACTTCAGATTGTATTTTGGAAAAAAATGACAAGTCGATCTATGACTCAAAATTCATATTAATAATGTAAATGTGTGATTTATATATTCACTCCAATCAGGCTGAAGAAAATGGAGTTTGGAGGGACTCAAGACCGTCTTGGTGGTGAAACTTTATTTATACTGTGTCTATTACTGTTGAAACTGTGCTAAATACTCTACACACCCATAACTCAACATACTTTGAATTAAAACTGAAATAGGGCGATTAATAATTTACTCTCATTTAAAATCCTGAATTTCAGTGTGGATCACATGGACGCGTGTCTCCATTCTGCTGATACTGATGCTCTGCAAATGTGTTGCTGCATTTTTGTCCTGTAAATCAAATAAATAAATGTATGTCGCATTTTATTTATTACTTCTTTCTTGTTTATCCTGACAAGACTTTTAAAAAATAAATGAAAGGTTATTGTTTTATTTTGTAAAATAATTAAGTATCAACTTAAAAAAAAAAACGGTTACCTAAATACCAGGTCAAATCATCATGTGTCTATGTGGTTGAAACAAATGTAGACTCAAACATGATGAGTTTATCTTTAATGGCATGACATTTTCCTGTCATAGCAGGTTGAAATATTCAACTAATTTCTGCAGACAATTTCGGCTTGCATTTTAAGAGCCTTGGTAATAAAACTACTTCATTCACATGCTTACTCGCTTCATCTCATTGAAAGGAGCCATTAGCGTCACCTGTGCTTGAGCGCTAGCTTGATTGCTAATGAGCAGCACCTGTGGCTGTAACACCTGACTGCCTCTGATTGGTTGGTGAATAAACAGGCCTATAAAAGCTGGTCTAGCAGACAGCATGTCATATTGCTAGTTTGGTCAGGATATCCAATCAAGTGTTGCCTTTGAGCTTGTGTTGAAGCAGGTGTAGTTTGCTAGCTTTAGACACTGCCAACACATCAGTTGCTATGGCTATTCACTTTTGCCTTGGGTAAGTTGGTTTTCTGAACATTTTCAAGCTGTTTGTGGATAATAGTTCACCTTTTTTTATTTGTGGATATTCTATGCCTTTGTGTTACAGGGTGACCTTGCTCCTCTCTATGTGGGCAACTGCAACATGTGATGTTCCCAATGGTAAGAGATGAAATGTTTGCTTATAGTCACTAGGGCTGCTCAATTAATCGTATTTTAATCGCAATTATGATTTTGGCTTGCAACGATTATGAAAACAACATAATAGAAATAAAACGATTATTTATTTTAATAAATAAAAAGTTTATTTTTGTATTGATTTTTCAGTTGAATTATACTTAAAGTTAGGGTAATCAACTGTTCAAAACATACTGTTCAAATTTTTGTTTCAATATATGGATGTTTTCAAAGTAAATGGATAATTGTTTTTAATAATCGTGATATAAATTATTGACCCAAATAATCGATATTATGATTTTTGCCATAATCGAGCAGCCCTATAGTCACACTAAACTGTGGACTAGTTTGACAGCTTTTAATTGTTTCTGCAGAAGCTATAAATATGGAGTGTCATGATCGCTTCCTCGTGATAGCTGTTGATCTCGCCTTCACTGGGAATAAACCCCACTTTGAGGCAGTTGGTAAGTCCTGCACAGCTTTGTCACAAATTGCTACCCCTTTTTTTTAAATGTACCATCCGATCAAAAGACAACTAGTGTGGCCTGAAAATGACAATTTCACTAATGCAGCCACTTGTAGGGTTGAATAACTAATGTGATTGTCGTTCCAGATGAGAGCGGTGTGTACCCCATCACTAGGCACAGGGCAGCACAGTGTGGCTACAGTATCGGTGTTCTCCCTCTGCTTGGACATGTGGAGCTCCGAGCCTCTTACTTTAGCTGTCACACTGAAAACAACGTTGGTACACTTGGCATTTTAACAGTATTTGTTCGTGTTGTGTGGCAACCCCTTCATTCTGCTCTATATTTCAGGATGACAAAGTCTTCACGTTCAACTTCAACCTGGTTGTTGTAAATGAAGGAAAGATTGTCAGCTATGCCTTGAGCAAGACCTGTTCTCCATCTCTCCCCTGGTCTCCCAGAGAGGTTACCTGTGAGGTCAACTACATGGAGGTAAGCATGGTTACATTGTCTAGTATTTTGGGAATTGTTTTCAATCTGAACTAATCTTTGTTTCTCTGTAGGTGTCAGTGAATAGTGAGATCACCTGTCCATCTGAGACAAAGAAAGAAGACTGGAATGCTGCTCTAAAATCAGTACGTTTCAACTTTCACACAGTTTTATATTGCTATAGCTTCAATGAGCACAACCATGAAATATTTCTCTTCTAGGCTTATAGCTCAGCAACTTCAGACTGGCAGGTTATGTTGCACGGCGGTGAGGAGCAGGGGATGCCAATGAACCTTTCTGAAGCTCATAAGCGGGGCTATTCGTTTGACTTGACGGACAGCAGGCTGGTTTTACGTGCCCAGTATGGACAACCTGAATCATTCAGCACTGAGGTAAATGTACAAGATATTGTCAATGACTTTGTTTAGTTGCATAGTTCAATACCTGTCTTGTAAAGCGGAGTCCAAAACCAGTTTTGACTTTGATTTTCTGTCTCCAGGTGAATGGTGTTCCAGTAGAGGCGGTCCATGCCACTCTGTTCTCCAGACAGGGCTGGGTTGTCCTCATGGTGGACCTGGTGGCTGCTTGCTCAATGCGTCAGTATTACAGTATTTAAGGTTGAGGCTTATATTTTGTTCCTGTTGACGGTACAACAACCAAAGCTTTAATTCTGTAATGTCCACAGATGAAGGATCATATAATGACAGAGGCTACATGATGTGGGACACTCCTGAGGCGCTGCATCCGCTGATGACTAGTCAACATGAGGCGCAGGTCAAAATTGGAGTAAACGGTGAACTTGTGGCGGAGCCAGTTGCAGAAGAGAGGGGCTACATTGTGGAGAAGCAAAATGCCATTATCCAGATCAGCATCCCCTATAATGCAGAAGGAGCAATCAGGAAGGTCAGGACGCACTGATATAATAAGATTTGCGGTCTAGAAGCACACTTGGCTGAATGCGCTTTTGTATTTGCAGAGCTTGGTGTCTGGCGACCTCTTCGAATTCTATATCTTTGATCTGTACTTGGAGCAAATGTTGTTCGGTGAAGACCAGATGGACACCAGACTTCGTGCTCACAGGACACTGGCTACGCCTCTGCTGCCACGCTCTCTCTTCAGTGAAAACAGTAAGTCTATTGACAAACTCACCGTCCATTTGATGCAACAATAATCTGATTTACATTTTGATTTCAGGAACAGTTCCTGAGGAGCGTGTGTTCACGGTGTACCTCGGCGACGTGCCTGAAGACGTAGAGTTGGCAGCTGTTAATTTGAATGGACAAAAATATAAAGCTCCGTTTTCGAATGAAAGTAGCCTCACCATCACAAAAGTTATTCAGCCAAACAACAATCATGGCTACACTCTGAAGGTGTCGATGTTTGACCCTGTTATCAGGCAAAAGGTAAAGGTCCTGAAATACTTAGTCCATATTCATGGAAACTTCACCCTGCTTTGGTAAAACTTGTATGTTCTTTTTCCTAGTTCTCCAAAGAAGATGCAGCCATGCAGCAGACACTAGAAATCAACTACACCTTGACGGTTCTGCCTGAAAATGAGCCTTTTTGCCATCTGGCATCAGTCAAGGCATTTACTGACGTCTGTAAGTTGCCTTGTTTTGCCTTGGTTAAACTTACTTGTGCATATAGCAACCATTGTCTTCTATACTTATCCTGTGTTCAACAGCGCCACCAGTCTTTGATGCTCTCTGTACTGAGTCTGGCATCAGCTTCAAGCTGGACCACCGGCCTTTTGACTACCTGTGGGAGATCACTATCGACTCAGACCTGCTGACATCAGAGCTGGCAGACCAGCACGGCTACATCATGAGCAACGATAGCAACAGTCTGCTGCTTGAAGTGCCCCTTCTCAGTCAAGGCTACCAGTATGAGGTACGATGAGACGGATCGGCATCAAACACTCTTTAGTGTGCTGTTTTGTAAATCGAGTTGAATGTCTAATCTGTTTTTCATAGGGCTTTAATTTGAAGGAAGTCATTGGTACGTTCAAGATTCTCATTCGGGATCCTGAAACTTCTGAAGTCCAAAGCTCATCTATCAAGACTTGTTCGTTCACGACTACAGAACTCGTTGGTAAGAAGACTTTTTTTCTCTTTGCCATTAGCTCCAGTGGGATGTTCATATATTTGAAATTTGCACTAATCCATACTTTCGTCAGTGTGTTCGACTGATGGGAGGATGACTGTGGTGGCTGACTTGGCTCTGGCCATCCCAAATGGAGGCAATCCTGCTAGAACCAACCTGAGAGACAAATACTGTGGCCCCAAAGAGACAGACGGCAGCAGGGCTCTGTTCTCTTTCTCTCTCAACAGCTGTGGATCCACAGTCAAGGTACTGCTGCTTCCTAATGCTCCTGTTATACTCATTCCAAAGAAATAACATTTAGATCCTGTTATAGTGCTGTGCCTTCACTCAATTCTTATGCTTTGTTTCTCCAGCTCAGCAAGGAGTATGTGACGTATGAAAATGAGATTTTCTACAGCAAGAAGCTACGTGCTCTGAAAAATCCAGCAGATCCTAGCAATGATATTGACAGGTGTATATTTAACCCAAACTCTTGGCCATTTAGCCTTTTTTTTTTAATCAACTTATTAATCCAATGTTTGTCTTGCAGGGTGACGATACAGTGTACGTATCCTCTGTCTGGACTGTTCCGTCTCTTCTCAGTATACAAGTTTGAGTCTGATAAAGCCGGTTTTGGTCGCATTGTTCATTCTGCGCACTCTCCTGAAGGTAAGTGGTTGACCTGAATAAACATCATTATATTCACAATGAAATTCTGACAATCTGTTTGGTCTTTAGGTCTACTGAGTCCCACCATGGAGCCCACTCCAGTGTTTCAAACTCCAGTGTTTCAAACGCCAGTGTTTCAAACGCCAGTGTTTCAAACGCCAGTGTTTCAAACTCCAGTGTTTCAAACTCCAGTGTACACTACCAGACGCTCCAGAAGACCTGTGTCAATGAGACCTGGGTACCAGCCTCCTGTTAAATACATCAAAGTACCCAGCTTTCTGAAGAATCTTCCCAAGAAAGGTACGTTTATTTGAAATGGTTGTGAAAATTCAATTACTTTATTAATCCTTAATGAATTCTCTTTTGCAGGAGCCAAAGGACAATTGCAAATTAAATTGAATCCATATATTTCTTTGTAACTACTTTGCTTTACATTTTTAAATGTAAAGCTTAATAAATTTGTCTTTAAAATTCTTGACTTATCAAATAAATGCAACATGAAAGTACCAATGTATGCAATGGTTGTTTAGCTCAAAGAGCCTTTCATAACAACCTAAAGGTGTTCCACCCTCCCTGTTTAAGAGCATGATTTCTGAGCTGCAAGGTTGAACCTAGCTTGAGGGTTTGAGATTCAAATGTATTGGAAGAGTGCGAGGGAAAGCTGACTTTTGTTTTTCTGTGGCAATTACAGTATTTAGACAATTCTGACCTAAAATCCATATTACATATCCATTACGAACATTCCCGAATCAAAAGCCCTGGATAAACGGTGAGGCGCGTGGCAAGCTGAAAGTGCGCACAGAGCTGGAGATTTGGAGGAGTACAGGAAATCTAGGTATGAACTCCGGAGAGCTATCTGCAGTGCAAAGAGACAATACAAAGACAAGGTGGAATCTGACTTCAAAGGCTGTAACACCCGGAACATGTGGGCGGTTCTAAGAACAATGACAGACTACAAAGGAGCAGCCTCAACGACTACCGCCCAGTAGCACTCACCTCCATCATAATGAAGTGCTTTGAGCGGTTAGTCAAAACCTTCATCACCTCCTCCCTCCCTGACTCTCTGGACCCCCTGCAGTTTGCCTACAGAGCAAACGGGTCCACAGACGACGCTATAGCCCTCACCATCCACACTGCCCTCTCTCACCTGGACCAGAGGAACACATATGTGAGAATGCTGTTCATTGATTACAGTTCAGCCTTCCAAACCATTGTGCCCTCCAAGCTGGTCATCAAGCTCCGAGACCTCGGGCTCAACAGCGCCCTCTGTGACTGGATCTTGAACTTCCTGATGGGCAGACCCCAGGCAGTGCGGGTGGGAAACATCACATCCTCAACACAGGAGCCCCTCAAGGCTGCATGCGCAGCCCTCTCCTCTACTCCCTGTTCACACACGACTGCGTGGTCACACACAGCTCCAACACCATCGTGAAGTTTGCTGACGACACGACCGTCATCGGCCAGGTCACAGACGCCGACGAGAGAGCGCTCTTCTGAAAGACTGAGATTTTCATCTATTCTCTTATAGTATAAAATACTATGACAGTAAAAAAAGTTGTTATTAATAAACAAGAATACAGTTTGAAAGTGAGTGATTTGTAAAATATCCATAAAGAAAATCTGCTTACAGTTCTGTTTCATATGGCTGTTGAGAGATGTATCCATAGATCTCTTAATGTTGCTCTCAAAGTGCACCAGATTGATGCTTTTAACTTCAATATATAAAAAAAAAAAATCAATCCCCCGGATCCCCCAAGAGGAGGTCCACCCCCCACTTAAATCATGTTCAAATGGATAGGATACTAAATACATTTGCACACATCTTGTGTCCATATCTTTCTGTTTTGGTGGTCATGCCACAACCGTGCATGCATGCACGAGTCATAGTGAGTGTCTGCATTTTGGGGGTGGGGTGGCACGCGCCAGCTAAAATCTTGCCTAGGGCAGCAAATTGGTCAGGGCCGGCCCTGCCCATCGCCATCAATGGGACTATTGACAATGAATACTCTGCAACTTCTACAGGTGCACCATAGAGAGTATCCTGACTGGCTGCATCACGGCCTAGTACGGCAGCTGCACCGCCCTCAACCGTAAGGCTTTACAGAGGGTGGTGTAAACTGCACAGAACATCACCAGGACGGAACTGCCATCCATGGAGGACCTTTACTCCCAGCGCCTCAGGAAGAAATCCCTCCGGATTGTAAAAGACCCCCATCACCCCAGCCACAAACTGTTCTGTCTGCTGCCGTCTGGCAGGCGCTACCGCAGCATCCGGACTAAAACCACCAGACTCAGGGATAGTTTCATCCCTCAGGCAATAAGACTGTTAAACACCTGAACTGCTGAAACAACATCCACGATATTCATCTCGCTGCTACTTAAAAATTATTTATCTATTTACCTAATATATCATATTTCAATGACTTGCAAAGACTATTATTTCAAACTATTTTTCTTCTTGTATTTACTTGCACTATATTTTTCTGTTTATCTGTGTTTTGTGTTGCACTGTTGGAGAAGCCTGGGACACAAGATTTTCATCGACATAACTACACTGTAGCTATGTTCGACAAATAAAGAACCTTGAAATTTGATATAAAAGCAAACTGCAAGCAACAGCACATGCTTGGTTAGCGTGGCTTCATTATGTTTGTGACAAATGTTAACTTGGAAGTCACAATAATTCCTATTCAAGCTGAACTTGGAATGTGTTAATACACTATATTGAATACACTTCAGACAGTGTATTTGACACTGAGGTTTTTAATGGCAAATGAAAAACGGGCAGTTTAGGGTCACTTAGATGCATTTTTTATAGTGAACGGGGAAATGCATTTGTTTTGGTCTTGCCCATGTTACAACCCACTGGAGTTAATTGTCACACTTTATCTACCATTACTTTGGATTTACTTGACTGTTTGTTTAAATGTCGTTTTTTGCACATTCATTCAGGAATATATACGGGCAAACAACTTAATTACAAAAGCTTTCACTTTAATATGAACCTTTTCTAATGTTCGGTTTCTTTTGTGAAAAAGTGTGAACTGCTTGTTGTAATTGATGGTTGATAATTGTTTAGCGGTAGCATACAAATATTCTAATTGGGATACTATGAAAGTGGCCTTAACCAGAATTGATAAGATTCCATGTGACCTGTGCATTTCAAGTGAGAAAACACATTCACAAAACATGTTGTCATTATTACCTTGTAGTCTAAAAGTGAATTTAAGTTAGTCTGAAATATTAGCCTTTCAAGGTAGTTTATAGCTTATTTAAAGTTCATTCTATGACCTAACATTTTGACAAGTCATGCACAATTGAAAAACGTACTGTCAGAAGCACAAGTTTACTGTGAAGGGCATTCAGTTATGCAATGGACATTATCCTTGTATAGTAGCATCTAAACATTCAACACAAGTCGTGGTTCCTGACACTTGTTCTAACATTCAATGTTTTGTTGTTGTCTTTACGCTCAAACCAGAAGAAATAAAAGGATGCTATATTAATGGTTCCACCTCTTGATGCATGGTACCAGATATTTGTGTGGCTTATGGAATAGGACAAGGCTTTCAAATCACCTTTTTTTTCAAACTGCTGATGCCTCTAAAATGTTCACCTGGCTTTTATGTACCATCTAAATGAAGCTAAAGTGTAGGTTCAGTCAGGAAGACTGGCTTTACCTTCATTATGCTGCATTTAATTAGCTCATTATGGGTGTCCACTCTTAACCAATTACCACAATGTCCAGCAGCCAAACTTTGAATGTGGCATTAATGCTGTGTCACCTCCACAGGGCCGATAATGCATGTCTCCCTTAAGACATACTATACCAGTTCTTTAACCAAAAAAAGAAAGTGTACAATTATCTGAAAATTAAAAATCTAGGGAAACATTGCTTTCCAAATGTTTTGATAAGCTACTTGGAACTAAATAGTTTCTTTGTCATATGCAGCGTTGATTGTAGTCGCAAATAAGACAATTTTGTATACACATTTATTGATATTTACAGTAAAAATACATAATCCCTAGGGAAATTATCGAAAAAATTCCTATCCAGCACAAGTTCAGCCCATATCCAATGTGATGCTAAATTGCGAAGGAATAGTTGATCGCTCAAACGGAGAATGTTACATTTTTGACGATTTACATGCCACAAATTACTCCAAACTACTCGCATATAGGTTTTCCAATATTCAGGAGAAGCGGTATACACATTGCTCTTATGAATCTGGACATATTTCAAATTGCCTTCCATTAGCCTCGTCATCTCACGCCTAGACTACTGCAACTCCCTCCTGGCCGGTCTACCTGCATGTGCCATCCGACCTCTGCAGCTCATCCAGAATGCAGCGGCTCGTCTGGTCTTCAACCTTCCTACATTTTCCCACACCACTCCGCTCCTCCGCTCCCTTCACTGGCTTCCGGTAACTGCTAGAATCCACTTCAAGACACTGGTAGTTGCTTACCATGCGGCGAATTGATCTGGCCCTTCGTACATCCAGGACATGGTTAAACCGTACACCCCAGCGCGTGCACTACGCTCTGCATCAGCCAAACGACTCGCTGCACCCTCGCTGCGAGGGGGACCCAAGTTCCCATCGGCGAAAACACGTGGGTTTGCTGTCCTGGCTCCAGGATGGTGGAATGAGCTCCCCATTGACATCAGGACGGCAGATAGCTTGCACATCTTCCGGCGCAAACTGAAAACTCATCTCTTTCAACTCCACTTCGAGCGATAGAACTATTAACGAAGCACTTTTATACTAATAAAGGACTGGCTTATCTAAAGCCAGTTGAGTAGCACTTGAAATGTTTGGCTCTATGAAACCTGATGTACTTATATGATTCTGTTTTCTTCAAGGTTGTGTCTTCCTGGTCGAATGTACTTATTGTAAGTCGCTTTGGATAAAAGCGTCAGCTAAATGCAATGTAATGTAATGTAATTAGCCCCGCCCCCCAAAAACTCGGCACATTTTCAAATATGTGCGTTTTTCATGCATTTTAAGCACATTTTTGCAAACTCCTAGGGAAATGTTCGGAAAAATTCCAATCCAGGACAAGTTAAGCGCATATCCAATGTCATGCTACATCGAGAAGGAATAGTCCTTCGCTCAAACGGGGAGCTCGTAGGCTAACTGAGAATGTACCATTTTTGACCAATTATACGTCAGATAAGCTACTGAGACCTGCCTGTCTGCCACATCAACTAGTCTCTCTCACTCACACACACACACACACACACACACACACACACACACACACACACACACACACACACACACACACACACACACACACACACACACACACACACACACACACACACACACACACACACACACACACACACACACACACACACACACACACACACACACACACACACACACTGTTAGTCCAACAACGCCCTTTGCTGGCAGCATATTCATTACAACAGACACCTTGCTATACACTCCCTAACCCTACTGTTTATTTGTAGATATCTGCTAAAGCCTACAAATAGTGTGAAATGTTGGCCTGTTACATATATATATTATACACTGTTCTGCACTGACCTCAGCAGATGTTCTCACTGTAAAAATCGCCTCACAATGAAAGCAGTTGTATTGAAAATAGCCTAACATCCAGGGGAGATGTGATTAGTGAGTAAACAAACGCACCGGAGGAGAGCTTCCATTTCAGCCAATAACTGACAGTGGATCTGTGTTCAAACCTGTTACAGATCAGTGCTACACTTGTTCAACTGCTCAGGTATATTTATGGTTTTCATAAACACTCATTTATTGTACAGCCTGTCCTCCTACAAAAAACGACCATATAGGTCGATTGTTCAGCAGCTAAATACGACCCAGAGTCACGTTTTAAAGTGTAGCACCTCTAGTGGTCGTGTAAGAAACAACATGCTCCTGTCGATTGCAAACGCTCCGGAGGGTCGTTTATTCACAAATTACCCTCTGAAAATCCTAAATTGTGGAATAGTTTGGCCATTAAAATGCTTTTTTATTAGATTTCTAGCGAGAAGTGTATATTGTACTTTTATAATCTACGTCCAGTGGATGTGTAGGATCTACAGTTTGATAGATATACGAAGATAATTTGAGGTCTCGCCAGGAGAACGTGTACTGTATATGGGGCAGCTTCCATGTAAAGTTAGCATGGGTGAAAACAGTATTTCCGGTCTCGAAGTTTTCATAATAAAACCGGAAGTATTCCCCACACAAATGTCAAATGATTACACAGTGATATCTCCATTACTCATCCACTAAAAAACATAAGTTTATCCTTGTTAATTACACAATATTGATTGGTTTAAATTGTGTACAATGCTTTTGTGTTTTTAACCTTCGATTCGGAAAAACAAATAGTTTTTTCGGAGTTTAGACACTACAGAGTTTCCGAAGACACTACACTACCCAGAATCCCCAGCTATCGTTTGGGACTACAACATCCGCCTTGCTTTACAAACCCCGTGATTAGCCCTCAAGCTCTGTGATTGGATGTTGGAGTGGCAGTGCGACAAGGTTACGCCGAATGTCAAACAGCTCTTTGAAATGGAATGGAACCACGCCAGACTATCCAAAACTGGACTTGGACGGGTCCAGCCCAGCCCTCCCCCCCAGAATTACACATGCTGGCTATTGTGTGTTTCGCAATATGTTCTATGGCACGTCTCTACTGGGAATTGTAGTTTTATAAGACGTTTTCGTATTTCCCACAATTAGAAGTTGCCAGTATTAAACTGTATACATCAGGTTTAGGGGATACGAAACACATTGGTGTTATCAAATTTAAAACAAATTTAAAACATAGGTAACACTTTATTTTTGATAGTCCATATTTAACACTATAAGTCATCAGTTGACATTTAGTAGCATGTCAACAGCGTATTAACCAATATTCAACCTTACTATCTGTATATTGTGTCAACATCTTCAAAATTTACAAGCAATTACTCAAAATCAATCTGTCAGTTGAAAGTCAACAGGGTCATGTTGACTATCTGTTGATAATCTGTTGAGAGTCAAGATGTCAACTAAAGATTACATTAAGCATTAGTTGGTGATCAACAGATAAGCAACTTTAGAGTTTAGTTGACTATCTGTTGATCGTCAACTAATCTAGAGTTGACTATCTGTATACTTTTAGTAGGCATTCTCCACTAAGCGTTTGTAGGCATGTGTTAGGACTATCCAATTAAAGTGAAAAACAGTTGAGAACAGTAGAAAGTCTATAACCTATCAACAGAACACATACATTCATCCACTAATTATATGCAACAGACATGGGAATAAAGCGAAATGTTTTGCAAAACTGATCACAAACTTTATGTATTCATTATGTATGTAATGTTTGAGTTAGAAACACCTGTTCCTGTTTTATTTGACTAATATATAAGATAAATACAGAAGCCTAATGCATTCACTTGAGAAAAAAAGGTTTTTCACAAGAACTCACAATCTACAGATAGTAAGGTTGAATATCGGTTAATAACCTGTTGCAAAAAACATGTTGACAGTCAACAGACACTTTTTGTAAAATCTATAGATCAACACTTGAGATGTACCTTATATTCTACTGGCAGTTAGTTAAATGGATGTTACTTGTCTGTTGAAACAGTGTTGTTGAATGTCAACTGATGACTTGTAGAGTGTTAACTATGGACTATCAAAATAAAGTGTTACCAAAACATATCATTAATACATGGGTGAAAATTGCTTGTGCCCATAATGGGAGCATTAATATACCCACATGACAGCTAAGGTCAGAAGAGCTTTATTTAACAGCTGGTCTTATGTCTGTGACCCCTCCTGTTGTTAATTGATAAGCCTGAAACATGCACTTGTCAAGGTTCAGATGCACATTTAGCAAATATGGCAGTAGCCATCGATCATCTTAAGATAAGATACTTTATTGATCCCAAGTTGGGAAATGTTTTTGTTACAGCAGCATGTACTACTTTGTTCTACTCCACTACAATTTAGAGGTCAACCTGGTATTTTTACTCTACTACATTTATTTTTGTTACTTTGCAGATTCTGATTAATGATGTGAAATATAAACAACCCTTAAATCAGACTTTTGTTACACCTGAGTAAAATTCAGCCTTATCAGTTTGTCTGTTTTGCACATCCACCTGTTAATATCTTTGGACGTCCTGCACTAAACTGTTTTATTGTAGAGATCACAGTATCTTCTTGATATTTTCTATTCTATATTTCTATCATTGACCCCTATTTTGTATGTAGGCTACTCTTAATATTTAAATGTTTTCATAAAAATTAAACTTATTCAACAACTAAATTCAATAACGTACTTTAACCACTAGGAGGTACGGTTTAGACCAGTGGTCTAGTTAATAAAACATAATAATATCAAACATAAGACTATTCACTTTATTGTGAAATTAAAACAGAACGGTAAAGGAAAATACAGTTTCAGTCTCTCAATGTGAAGCTTATGCATTGTACCATAAACTTTTATAGGCCTGTAACAGTCAACTGCATGAGGAGTTGGAAAGGTAGTTCAGAAAATCAGTAATATCTTTAAAAACTACAAACAAATCCTTTTCTATCAGCTGTGCACCGTTATGGTGTAAATACAGACCATCTACTTATTGGATCAAATATAAAAGTCAGCCGAATTAGTGTTGATACTGCAAGGAGACGTATTGTGTGAAAAGAAATGGAAGATGTTGTTTAATTGTTGATATTTTATGGTCCACGTCACGTATTCAGTTTTGGCGGCATCTCTTCCAGTTTGTCAAAAGGTCTTCTGATCAGGGCTCTATAAATAAATATCTACGGCAGATATGTAATATTTAATGCAGCCGAACCGTGTATTACAATGACGTTATGTGATGACTTTCAAAGAGAAAAGCAAGAACACTCGGAATAAAGTATTATTTTTTTTAATGTTTTCCGATTTCCTATCACATAAACACCATATCCCGACGTGCATTGCGGCGTGATTTTAGCCTATCATAACCTCTGAAAAAAGAAATGTGTCTCTCAGAATCGAAAGAGAAAACCCTATGGGAAAAACACAAAAGCATTGTACACAATTTAAACCAATTAATGTCGTATAATTAACAAGGATAAACTGATGTTTTTTAGTGGATGAGTATTGCAGATATCACTGTTAAATCATTTGATCATTGGTTTTATTATGAAAACGTCGAGACCGGAAATACTGATTTCAACCCGTAACTTTACATGGAAGCTTGCCGCATATACACGTTCTCCTGATGAAACCTCAAATCATCTTCGTAATATCTATCAAACTATAGATCCTACATAACGACTGGACGTGGATTCTAAAAGTACAATATATACTTCTCGCTAGAAATTTAATCATAAAGCGTTTTAATGGCCAAACTATCCTAGAATTTAGGATTTTACAGAGAGGGTTATTTGTGAATAAACGACCATCTGTAACGTTTGCATTCAACGGGAGCACTAGAGGCCAAAAACTTTAAAACGTAATTATAGGTCGTATTAAGCGCTTGAACAAACGACATATTTGGTCGTAATAAGGGCTTAAACAATCGACCCATTTGGTCGTATGAGTTGGAGGACTTGTTATTGTACCCCCGCTACTCTTATATTGGACTTCCTTCAAGCACAATACATTTTAATAATGCAGCAATCAAATCAAAATTATTTATATAGCCCAATATCACAAAACACATTTGTCTCATTGGGTTTTGAAAGCTCTGACTCCAGATCTGGTTTTCCGGACTCTGGGAATTACTAAAGACCTGCCATCTTGGAGCGTAATGCCCTAGGCTAGAGGGACAAGAGGGGATTTAAAGATCTTTAAGGTATCTTTCCATTTAGTGTTTTGTAGGTTAGACGAAAAGGTTTGATTCTGGACTTTACTGGGAGCCCGTGTAGAGCTGCTAAAATCGGAGTGACTTGGTATTCAATAAATACAATCCAGATAATCCTACACACTTTTAACGCAAGGGTTGATTTAGAAATGAGTAAAATGTATCCTCTGCTAAGCAATTAAAATAAAATTCCAATAATTAAATCTGAAGCAAAAATGAAATGTTCAGTTTTAGCTTAATACTTACAGTTCACCTGATGAACAAAAGACATATACTGAAATGTCATTTTCTACCCGTTTGACATACTATACAATGTAAAAATATGCAACAAAAAATTCATAGCATGTTGAAAATAGTAGAAAAACGACAAGGTATGTCATAACAATTTCGAAATAAGGCGTAGTATAGTATACTATGGAACAAATGAAAACATACGAACATCGAAATAAGGCTTATTATATGTCGAAATAAGGCCGGAAACGACAATATACGTGTAAAAAAAAAACGACATGACGAAAATATGAGAAACACTATCAAGTATAGTATGTCAAATTTTGCAAAACAAAATGACAGTGTTTTGTCGAAATAAGGCGTACTTATCATCTTTCAAAAATAATCTGTTTAGGAGGTGTTGACAGATATGCGACAAAGACAGCATCTTTAAGAAAACAGCTTTATTAAATTCCAAAATGACCAATTTAAAAATTATACTTCCTTCAAATATGGGCAGCATTAAGCTTTGTCTGCAAGGATTGTCGAACTCCTGTGAACAGAAAACATTACAATTGTGAGTTACTACACTTAAAATGGGAGATTTGTATATGTATGGGTTAAAGCTCTCACCTTTATTCATAGCGTTGGCCAGATATCGAAACCTAGCGTTGGCCGGATATCGAAACCTAGTCACTTTGACATAGCGAGAAGGAGGGTGGAGGGCAGGCTTGTATGATCCTGTAGCTCGTCTTGTGGCAGCAAGTGTGGTTGTAGCAAGTGTAGTTGTAAGAGCTGAAGTGGGCTGGATTGTGGGACTCTGCAGATCTGGCATTCAAAAAGAGAAATGCTTAAAATCGAATATGGGGAGTAATACCTGGTCACCTTGAGAAAGTGAACAAACTACTTTACCTGCTGCAGGATGTGTGGTATGGAGGAGGCTGCCGATTCCAGCTGCATCGGACTCAAATCTGTGCACTGAGAAGAGTCGAAGGAGACCAGAGAGAGGATAGGTACACTGCATTGTCACCCTGCAAGAAAAGGCACATTCACCCACACATCAGATGGCAATTTCTGCCTTTAAAACAAATCAACAGACTAAAAAGGGATACTTACCTTTCCTTAGCATTATCGGAAACAACCTTGCTAGGTCTGAGGAACTTCTTGCTATAGAAAATCTCATTTTCATAGGTCACATTTTCACTGTTGAGCTGTAGGCAAAAGATGCAAACGGTGAAACATTTAGTTTATGACATTCAGATGTTCTTTTTGTTGCCAGTGTCAAAGAGAACGATATAGCAGCGGTACCTTGACTGTGGATCCACAGCTGGTGAGAGAGAAAGAGAACAGAGCCCTGCTGCCGTCTGTCTCTTTGGGGCCACAGTATTTGTCTCTCAGGTTGGTTCTAGCAGGATTGCCTCCATTTGGGATGGCCAGAGCCAAGTCAGCCACCACAGTTATCCTCCCATCAGTCGAACACACTGTAGAGAAGACCATCGAGTTATCCTCAATTCAGCTAAATCTTACAGATCTTAAAATAAAAAAGACGCATGTTCTTACTAATGAGTTCTGTAGTAGAGAACGGACAAGTCTTGATAGTCGATCCCTGGACCTCTGATGTTTCAAGATCCCGCATGATGATTTCAAAAGTGCCAAAGAATCCCTTCAAGGATACGTTCTATAACATATGCAGTTTAGTCATTGATCAATACAGCGGTCAAATAAAGAGCATTTGCTGCCACTCAGTCTCATCTCACCTTGTACTCGTAGCCGTGAGAGAAGAGCGGCACCTCGAGCAGCAGACTGTTGCTATCGTTGATCATGGTGTAGCCGTGCTGGTCTGCCAGCTCTGATGTCAGCAGGTCTGAGTCGATAGTGATCTCCCACAGGTAGTCAAAAGGCCGGTGGTCCAGCTTGAAGCTGATGCCAGACTCCGTGCAGACAGCATCAAATTGCGGAGGAGCTGTTACAAGAAAATTGGTTAATCTGCTAGCCGCCATTACAAAAAGAGGATTAAAAAAAACACTTAACGGTATGGACTTACAGACATCTGTGACCAATGCTACAACAGATTCCATGTGGTAATAAAGGTCCTTTTCAGGCAAAACTGTCAGTGTGTAGTTGATGTTGAGTATATAATGAAGAGCATCTGTTTTAGAGAACTAGGAGACATAATACAATTCATTATGACTGAGCTCATGTCAAGCTGCAAAACTTTGGAGTCATCCCTTAAAAAAAAAACACCTTACCTGTTGCAGGACGACAGGGTCTTCAAAAGGCACCTTCAGTTTGTAGCCATGAGTGTTGTTGGGATGAACAACTTTTGTGATAATGAAACTGCTTACGCTTAAGGGCACTGTAAATTCTTGTCCATTCAAATGAACAGCAGCCAACTGTACGTCTTCAGGGACGTCTCCGAGGTACACCGTGAACATGTTTTCTTCAAGAACAGTTTGGTTTTCAGCGAAGATGGGGCTTGGCAGCAGGGGAGTGGCCAAAGTCCTGAGGGAGCGGATCCTGGTTTCTACACGATCCTCATCCACCAGGATTTGTTCCAAGTAGAGATGATAGACATAAAACTCGTAGAGATCGTCCTCCACAGCACTCTGAAGAAAATACATATCATTTGTTAAGAAAAGTAAAGTAATGTTGTTCGGATCCAGTTAGTAAGAGTTAAATGTTTTCTCTTTTGAGTATCTGTAATATCTAACATTAAAAGATGATCTTGAACCTTTGAGCACTGAGTTTTATTTAGAGACCATGAATGTATCTGCTTACTTTAATTTAGCCTACAAACCCCAGTGTGTATCTATGCTCTTAGGTTTTTGATTTCTGACCTTCCTGTATCGTCCTTCAGCATTTTCGGGAATGCAGATCTGGATTGTGTTGTTCTGCTTCCCCACAATGTAGCCCCTCTCCTCTGCAACTGGCTGGGCAACAAGTTCACCCTTGAGACCAACGTTGATTTGTTGGCCATCTATATTTGGGTACAGCATCTCAGGAGTCTCCCACATCATGTAGCCGCTTTCATGATACAAGCCTTCATCTGTTAAGAGTACATCAGATTTATAGCTTTACTTTTCCAGCAAGTGGAAAATAATCCAAAAATAGAAGAATGTGTTAAAATACTGACCCATGGAGCAAGCAGCCACAAGGTCAACCATGAGGACAACCCAGCTTTGTCTGGAGAATATAGTTGCATGTACTGCTTCTACTGGAACACCATTGACCTGGAGAGAGCGCTACATTAGAAACTCTTATGCTCAGATTTACAAAATAGGCATTATTAACCAATGGCTTACCTCAGTGCTGAATGACTCAGGTTGTCCATACGGAGCACGAAATACCAGCCTTCCTTCAGTGAAGAGAAACGCATATCCCTGCTTACGAGCGTCTGAGATGTTTATTGGCGGCAACTGCTCGTCATCTGTCTGAAACATCACCTGCCAGTCTGAAGTGGTGGACCTATGAGCCTGGATAGAGATTTTAAAAAGGTCCCCTATTATACCGTTTTACATCAATATATTATAGATCTCTGTGTCTGTTACTTTAGATGAAAATAAGGAGCCACGCCCCTCAGAAATATTTGGTTAAAAAGAACACAGTGGTGCCCTAGGAGGAGATTCAGGTGATAAAGGGGGGGGGGGGGGGGGGGGGGGGGGGGTGATTGGCTAATGGTGGTTACACAAGCTAATAAATCATTTTGACATGAGTGTTTATTCATAGTATTTATAAAATGGATCAGGACAAAAGTGAGCAAATATTATTCCCTAAAACTTTCAGTATCTATTTACACAGGGGACACATGTTTATGTCTAAAAGACATGACAAAATTGATTGAGCATAATAGGTGACCCTTAAGCCTTTTAAAACGGAGAGAGAAAAAAAAAAGGAATTCTCCACAGAAAGAAATTAAACTTACAGGTTTGAGAGAATTCCAGTCATCCTCTTTGTTCCAGAGGGACAGGTGACTTCACTCCTCACAGACACCCTGGAAAGAAGTCATGATTAGTCACCAATCTGAAATACGCCATAAGATATACAACCTCAGATGTTAAACCCGGCTTACCTCCATGTAGTTGGTCTCACAGGTAACCTCTCTGGGAGACCAGGGGAGAGATGGAGAACAGGTATTGTCTTGCAAGGGATAAGTCACCTCCTTTCCTTCTTGTGTCCACCATTTAGGTTAAAGTTGAATGTGAACATTTCATCATCCTAAAAATCAAGCAGAAAATTACAGGATGCCTAGCCTGCACAGTAAAATACATTTTCAATGCAATTTGTACACACTTTATTCTGAGTTTGACAGCTGAAGTAAGAGGCCCGGAGCTCCACATGGCCTGGTAGAGGGTGAACATTGATACTGTAGCCACACTGTGCCGCATACTGCTGAGTGATGGCGTACGCACCGGTCTCATCTGGAATAAAAATAAAAATGATCTCAATATTAACTCCCAACATCCTGAAAGTACAGGTATACTGGTAAACAAACAGTGAATAATAAACTATTAAGGTCATGTTTTTCCTAAAGGTAAAATGATGGTTCAATCAATTCAAGACGCTTGATGAACAGGCACTGCTCATGTGGAAGAAGTTCCTAAATATTCTGTGTTGGCCTAGCATGATAAAGTTTTCCAGAACTTACCAACTGCCTCAAAGTGAGGTTCGTCCCCAGTGAAAGTGAGATCGACAGCTATCATGAAGTAACGATCATGACACTCCATACGAAGCACTCCTATGTGCACAAACAAGTTTAGGTCAACATATGAACAATATTAAATGCATGTCAATGAGTTGCTATTTTACTTACCATCTGGAATGCCAACAGTCTCTGCTCTTGACCACAGAGACAGAAGTAAAGCGACACTGAAACAAGAGCAGAATGTCTCTGAATATATAAAAAAAAACGACAAAATGAGTGGTCCAGGCCTATATTTGACCATAAAAACAACTTACCCAATGCAAAACCCAAACGCCATAGCCACTGATGTGTCTGCAGTGTCTAAAGCTAGCTTAGCTGCTAGCAAACTACACTTGCTAACCAAAACAAGCTTAAGTGTAACACTTGCTTGTTATATCCTGGCCAAACTAGCCCTTTCTTCTACTGCCTCCAACAACAGCTTTTATATTCTTTGTTCACCCATGAGGTTGAAGGGCAACACTAACCTCATCAGCTGCAACCTGTTGAGACATGATTGTTGCTAATGAGCTACACCTTTGGCTGTGACACTCGAGGGCCTCTGATTGGTCTTTAAAAAAACTCACTTATAAAAGCTTGTCTGTCAGCAGAAGGTATTATCCAAAAATCCAGAAAATTGTCAAACTGGTTGTGCATTTTATGTTCCTGAATTAAAGGTAAAAGTGGGAAAGCGAACGAGTGATCACTAGTGATGGTGAGATGAAGCCTTATGAAGCTTTGAAGCTTTCCAGCCAATTGGTTCGCAAAAGGGTTCACCTCATGAGGCTTCATCATGGGCTTCATTTGAACACAACCCCCCTGTTGGTCAAAGTGTGTAAAACAGGCAGATTGGACATCTCAACAGTGTGCTCTATCTCATACCGAGTTCCCATTGAGTAAAGCCTTAGAATAACTCTAAACAATAAACATAAAATCATATTTTCATGTTAACAATATTGTATTTATTCTAGTTGAATGATTGTGATTGAAAAACCTAAGGAGGCTGGTAAACATTGCAAAGAGGGATTTGTATTCCTTAATAATATTCATAAACTTAACCATGTTGTAGCCTGAGAAAGGCTAAACCATATCAAAGAATACATTTATTAATTATCGAATTTAGCTGTAGCTTTTATAAACAACAAAAAATACGTATTGTTCAGTCGTTGAACCAGGGACCCTGCGGTCATGAGTCAACTGCTTTCCAGCTGAGCCACAGCACACACACTAAAGCTCACTGAAAACACTGCAACATATTTATTCCTGTATTTATTCATTTATTTATTCATGTTTTTATTCCTACATTTATTTATGCTTGTATCTATTTATACTTGTGACATGTTCCGACTTCCGACCTCTATATAAGTGAGGGTCTGAGCTCTCTTAATTCCATCGTGTCCCCGGGCCCGCCGGGTACAGGAGGGGTAATATGGTTGTTATTATACATCCATGGGTATTATGAGCGTTGTGGTTCAACGGTTCAACCGATCTGAATCGCTTCGAGAAGCAGTCACGTGGTATCGACAGGCAGCGAGGCTTCGTTTGTCATCGATGACGTCACTGGCACAAAACGATACAAGCCTCGATACATGCTTCACAAAAAGCTTCGGGGATTACTCGACACACGCTCCGAAGCCTCGGCGCAATACGTAACATCACTAGTGATCACATCGCAGTATACACAGTAGAGATGATGGCTATCTCTCTAGTCTAGCACTTCAGTGGGTAGAGGAAATACAGCCAATGCGAGTGGTCATTTGCTCTGACTCTAGCACAGCTCTGGAGAGTATAAACAACTTCTCTTCAGAATGTCGTCAGGATATTTTACATGAAATTGTACACATCATGTTTAGGTTAGTTCATTTGGGAATTGTTGTTCAATTTGTGTGGGTTCCAGCACATGTGGGTATTGGAGGGAATGAAGTAGTGGATCAACTGGCAAAATGTGGTTTGAAAGCAAACCAGATTGATATTATTGAGCAGAAGTCAAATCTGTTACAAAAGTTGTTATCAAGCAACAATGGCAAAAGTTATGGGACAGTAACACTAGGAAGACATTTATACCAGATACAAAGGGAAGTAGGAACGGAAAGCACTTGGGGGAGTAGTAGAAGAGAACAGAGCATTAACAGCAGGATAAAATTGGGTCAAGATCTGGATTAAATTCAACAATGCATCTGATTGTAAAACATCCAAATGGCAATTGTGATGGTTGCCAACAACCAGAGACAATACATCATGTATTTTTTAGCTGCCCGGAATATACAAGGCAAAGACTCATGCTGAAAACTGCACTGGAACAATTTAACATTAAGGACATGGATTTCAAGGCAATATACGGAAGTAAATCAAGAAATGAAGTAAACAAGCTGATCTTCAAGTTCCTCAAAAACACTGGTCTGAGGACAAGGATTTAATATGAACATTAAATAAATCAACAGTAGGTGGCGATATATGCTCCAAGTGGAAGCGATTCGCCATGGAGAAGGAGAAGGAGAAGGAGAAATGGCCTTTTGGCCAGGATATACACCAAGCAAGTGCTTCACTTTAGCTTGTATTGGTTAGCAGGTGTAGTTTGCTAGCAGCTAAGCTAGCTTTAGACCAGGGGTGGGGAACCTTTTTCCTCTCAAGGGCCATTTAAATTGTTTCAACATCCTCCGAGGGCCGTACAAATTATTGACCTCTGCTTAAAAAAAACTAAAATCACAGCCCATTCATTTGGCCTTTCTTTCATGCTGTGCAAAGAAAAAGCAACCTTTTAATCCAGATAATTTACCATGACTCACGCATGCATGCACGTGCACGGTTGTGGCATGACCACCAAAACAGAAAGATATGGACACAAGATGTGTGCAAATTCAATGCAAAGGACTTCGAATCAGGGTAAGTTTGAGTCCCACTGCAGTCAGCATCTCGTTGTGTCCATGGGCAAGACACTTCAGCCCAAATTGCTCCTGTGGGGATTGTCCACAGTACTGAATGTATGTAAGTCGCTTTGGATAAAAGCGTCTAACAAATGACATGTAATGTAATGTGATGTATTTAGTCAGTGGCGGCTGGTGGAAAATATTTTTGGTGGGGCTATGGAAATAGGGACCAAACCATACTAGGGCAGTCCGGGGGGATCGTCCCCCGGAAGAAATTTTTGAGAAATGATCCCTTAAATTATGACTTCTTTCTGACAAAATCAGATTTGCTCACGACGGTTTCCACTTGGACTTTAATACAGCTACACCATTGTTTGGTTTCCATGGTAGCGCGTCTCTTTAGCAGCGCGCGCAACTCAAAGTTTGAGAGGGTGAGGAAGATGAAAACTGAACAAGAATCGACAACTCGACCCTCTGCTCACTCCTTTCCTGTAAAATACAGGTCCAGCCCACATATTCTCCATGGTGCCACAAGCGTTGCCCTTACAACTACAATAAGCATGTAAATGTTAATCTACAGCTCCGGCGATCCACTAGCACCGGAGTCTCCACCTGCAGACGCAGCCATCCTCGACAACTACTGTAGCGTCACCTTGGATACGAGTCCAAACAACTCACAGACACACAGGCCAGGGCGCTGACAGGGCGCCCTTTGAGCATCAGATTTGACGATGCTGATTGGCTGAAATTATGTTTCGGCAGCATAGTTTACAGATAGCAACAGTCAGCTTGTTGGCTGCTGCTGTTCTGGCTGAGGGCTCCTTTCTACCGCCCGGACGAGAGAGGGTAATGATACACGCAGGGCCGCCCCTCCCTACAGGCCAATCACGCAGGCTGCATGGGGCCCCGCCTTGTGCAGGGGGCCCCGCCCAGAGGGCCTCAGCTGCTGTGCGCAGTTCTCCGCTCAGTTCTCCGCGCACCCCCGGCTGACACGCGAGAGTGAGAGGTGACAAGGGGAGCACGTCTGTAACCCGACACCGTTGCAATGAATCGACATCTGACCAATCACGGCTTTGATACGGCCACTAGTGCAGGTGAAGAGATGTCGGTGAAAAGACAGTTTCAGTCCGGCACAAGCTAGAGGGAAAAAAACCAAAACTTAAAGAAACTAGAGCATCACTCGAAGGTGGGTTATTGTATGAGTCAAATGTACAACTTGCGAATGTTGTATAAGTCAAATTGCCAATTGCCATATTAAAACATCAGCTGCAATTCACGACATGAAGAAGGCAGTCTCTGCATAGCATATAGGCTAATGGAGATGCAGTTATTTCCAGCATTCTTTATTTAACATTCATTCAAGTATGTTATGCCTTTTATCTGCTAATGTACAGGAG